GTCCCCTACTGACGAAGCGAAGTGCACTGGCAATATTCAGACATCGTAGGGAAACGTGCTGTGAGAAGTAGTCCCGGTCCTTTCCGAGCCTAGTGACTTCCTGCTTCGTTGACTCATCAGGTGAATAGGGTGCAAGCATAGCCAGGAATTCTCGTGAAACCGGAGCACAGATTTCCAGATAGTATCTCGCAATAGTATCGTAGGTGGTAGGCGTGGGGACCGGAACCTTTGCAGATGGATCCGTGCTCGATAAGTTGATGACTTCATGTCGCTTTGCAGTAAGACCAAGCACGTCAAGAAAAGCGTCAACTTCCGTATCCGGGTTGATGGGCCAGACTGCGATGTGATCACCAGTCTCATACTTCAAGTTGGTTCCCTCAATGTCGAATTCCATGTGAATGCAGTTGCGATCAGACCCCTTGAAGAGCTCTTTAGCGTGGGCGATGGGGGAGAGATAGGGGTTAGTGGAGTGGAAAGGTCCCTTGGCTATCCCTTGGAGATAACCCTTGTTGAGCTCGCCGACGAAGACGTCAGAAGAATCCTTGTTCTTACTGTTGTCGGAGGTAATGTTGAAGACTGGATCATACAGCAGGGTCTCGCGCTCTGTGAGTGCCATTTCCGAAGTGAGCTTCTCCCACATAGGCTCCTTCCAACGCATAAAGTCCTCTTCCATGCAGCCAGCGTCATCACCGTCTCCAACATCTCCAACCAGGTGGGCTCCCTGGCTAGACAAGATTCTGCTAACTTCTCTCGCCATTTTATTGTAGTGCTGGTAAGTGCGGTTGCCCAGACCAAAAGTGGCGAAGCGCAAATTGCTCAGGAGTGGGTTATGACCAAGGGTGTAATTAACATCATCTGAGCTGATGTACTGAAAGAAGTCTTCTGCATTATCCGTAGGGTCGCCCTCGCCAGCCGTAGCGAGGACAAACATGACAACGTGGCTCGATGGGACTTCATCAAGGTTCTCAAAGTCATACTCGTCAAGGTCTGCCACCATGGTGTCCAGGCCGAAACGAGAGCGGCCTTCTTTGGCAAGTCGCTTGGCATAGCCTTCAGCCGTACCCGTCTGGCTACCGTAGAAGACGATGCAGTTTTTCCCCAGCTTCTCCATCTTCTTAACAAAGTCGCGGCCAGATTCTTCGTTGTCGGTAAAAGCTTCAAGCTTGCTTTGAGCTGTTGGCTTCAAGATTCTGGCCTTTAGGCTGTCTCTGAACCAGTATGTGACAGTGCCGAGGAGCAGGATACCAATGATGGCAACATCAGAGATGTCCATCCCGAAGAGAGTGTCTGGAACCATGTTGAGGATTTGTTTGAAAGGCTCAATGTTGAACAGATGTTAGCATGAGTTTAGGGTCAAATGCATCCTCTGAACGCTCGAGGTCTCTCTATTTGATATCATCACCATCCGCCTCACCTGCCCCATTATGATGGCCTCGTATGATTTTGACGCTTCTCGAATCTTTCGTCGTCGTCGGAAACATTCTAAACATTCCGAGCCTTCCAGCATATGTCTGAGATGCCGAAGCCGCATAGTAGTAACAAGAGAGAAGGTTCGTTTACCGAGAACGGCGGATTGCCAGCTGATTGAATTATGGGGAAGGGGGGAACAATGTTACAGTTACAACCAAAGGCACACACATTGAAATGCCAAGAACCGACCGAGGCCGTGGGAGGTGATTCCGCTTCATAGCGAAATTGCCACCTGGTTTTATTCCGACGGAAAGCATAAATCTGAATCCGAGGTCGGGCGCGGACTGGAGCCAGCGCCCCTCCAAATCGGGAGTTGCGGCACGAGTGATTTCAAAGCACCTCGCCAAACATCCCATGTCCATTCAGTGCAACTTACGCATGGGGAAATATAGATGAGACCAAAAGCATCCTAAGTCGGACGGGTGGCAGAGAAGCAAGATGTATCAAAAACTAGACCTAGACCCGGGGTCAACATTACGCGAAATCGAGGCATGTTGGCATGTTATGGCAATGGAATGGTCTGCAGTAGTGCCTAGACCAAATGTTTTAATAACCTTCCCTTGGCTTTCATTTCAAGCCCCAACAGGTATGACTAGACAATGCTTCTGCTGCCACCTCTGGGAAAAGTGTGAGACAGGAGGTGAGCAAAGACCAGGTTTCACTGCCCTTTTCCACGCTAGAGATCTGCACCCCAGAGCAAGAACAGCTTAGCGAGTGCAACCCAATCGACAAAAGAGGTTTGGTCAGGTTGAGTGGGAGACGTAACTAGATACGAGAGTGGGATAGTGACATACGCTCGGAAACCGTTCCGTTTCCGCTGTACACTTTCACGAACTCTCTGCTCGGAAACCTCATCATGAGCTCGCCCTTTCTTGGACAAACCTGGAGATAACGGTGGGGTTTTCTGGGGAAATCTGCATCACCTCCTTACCGAGATCTTGATTCCCCGCAAATATCTCATTGTATGACTGATTAATGTGACTGTAATGATAGGGCCAGCTTGATATGATATGAGTATCTAGCGTCGTAAGTTCGCGCCGTTATCTATGGCTAGCCTCCATTCCCCACACTTCACACGGCATCTAGACACACCCAGTCTTCGTCCTCCCTCCCTCTACACCATAGAGGCCTTTTATACGCTTGCCCGTCCTTCCGAAGCCGACTAGCTCAACGGCATCGTCAACACCACCTATATTAGCCTCGTGCGACCGAAACCGTTCTCTTCTCTTTCTGATCTGTTTGTATCGCCACCATGGACCAGAAGAAAGACCTCACAGACGCCGCCATGTCGATAGATAGAGTAGAGTCGCGCCCCTTGGGCCACCTTACAGATGAGGAGCGTCTGGCCCAGATGGGCCACAAGCAAGAGTTGGAGCGCACGTTCTCGTTGGTACCACTTACCGCGCTCTGCCTCTGTCTGATGGCAACGTGGGAGGCCCTTTCAACTGTCATTGCCGCAGCCCTCGCCAGCGGAGGGCCTCCTTGTCTGTTCTACAACTAGTACGTGAACCCCTTTCATCAAAACATTATCAGGATTAAGATACTTACAGTTACAATCAAGTGTGTTGAGCTTCATTTGCACCGTTTGCGTTGCTGCATCGCTAGGCGAACTGGCTTCCATCTATCCCACGTCAGGAGGTAAGCATGCCATCACCCCTTCAGTAAATCCGAACATTGCTAACCATTCCATCGATACCAGGACAGTACCATTGGACCGCCGCTCTTGCCCCTCCATCGACAAAGTCATTCGCCGCATTCGCTACTGGATGGATCTCTGTTGGTGGACAAACAATTCTTACAGCTTCGGCAGCTTTTGCCGCTGGCCTGCAATTTCAGGCTTGCATCACGCTGAACCATGACGATTACGTTCCAGAAAGATGGCAGGGCATGCTCTTCTACTGGGCCGTCCTTGTCTACGCACTTGTGATGAACATCTGGGGGTTCAAGTTGCTCCCGCACGTCAATATTGTATCTGGTAAGTGAACCTCATGAACATAAAACTTTACTCTGTTCAGCTGTGGTCCCGAGACTGACAATGCCTACGCTCAGGTGTTATCCATATTGCAGGATTCATCGCTATTCTCGTGACACTTGGTGTCATGTCCGAGAAGAACACGGCCGCCTTCGTTTTTACCGAGTTTCAGAATAACAGTGGTTGGACTAGTGACGGGATCTCATGGCTAGTTGGCCTGCAAAGTGCTGTTTATCCATTCCTTGGGTGAGTCAGCATAACCAGTCGCTTCACAGAATAAACAAACTGAAAAAACTAACGGTCCTATCTTCAAATAGATACGATGCAGCAAGTCACGTTGCAGAAGAACTCCACAACCCAAGCCGCAACGTCCCGCTTGCCATGGTTGGCAGTGTCCTCCTTAATGGCTTGATGGGCCTTGTCTATTGCATTATCCTGCTGTTTGCAGCCCCATCGCTTGATGATCTGCTCTCGACGCCCACTGGTTTCCCATTCATGGAAATCTTCCTCAGCGTTACCAATACAAGAGCTGGTGCGACTGTCATGTCTCTCGTTATTTGTGCCGTTGCAACAGCTGCAGTTACTGCGGGCGTTACTTCTACATCTCGAACTCTATGGGCATTTGCTAGAGATCAGGCGACACCTTACCATGAGCAGTTGAGCAAGGTGAACCAGACTCTGCAAATCCCAGTCAACGCTATTGTTGTCATTACCGTACTCCAAGCCATTCTTGGTTTCATCTACTTGGGCAACTCGACCGCCTTCAACGCCATCCTCTCAATGGCTATCATTGGCATGTACCTTTCATATGTCCTACCCATCGGCTATATGCTGTTTTTCGGTCGTCGAAAGCTCCAAAAGAGTGAATACGGATCTTTCCGTCTGGGTGCTTTTTTCGGCCCTGTTCTGAACATCATTGCCATTATCTGGATGATCGTTTGCATGCTATTTAGCACATTCCCTACGACTATGCCAGTCACCGCCGAGAATATGAACTACTCCACCGTGGTTATGGCGGCTTGGCTTCTGTTTGGGGGGATTTACTATGTGTGGTTTGGGCGTCAAAAGTTCGAGGTTCCGCTCAATGACCTTCCTGTTCTCACAGGCGAGCACGGACATGGCGAGAAGCTTGCAGAATAAACTGTACCTAGTAATTTGTGGTTGTTTCATTTGTAACACATTTAAGATATGGATTTATATATCGGGGTCCTGTAACAGCATTAGTTTGGTACAATCAATGAAACGAGTCCGATCTTCAAGAATTTGGGGAGCATCGTGAGCGATTATTGTCACTGAGCAGCATGTATTAATAGTAATAGTGTTTGGATCAAGCGGAGGTTAGCCAACGTAGAAGATGAAGAGAATGACAACATTACCATCATCAATAGTTGTGGATCTTCTTCAACTACGGCTCGCAAAAAAACGCATTGCTCCAGATATGAAATCTAATGGGCGGCTCCTCACTCAGTTTTGTGGTTATGAAAACAGAAATCAGCCTTTTTGTCGGGAATAAACAGGTCCATATTCTCTTCCCTAACTATAATTATACACTTTGTCTTTACTCGGGGAGCTTGAAGTGAGGCTTCAAGCCAGTCCAGCTATGCTCGTTATATCCATCCTGTACTTTCTCGCATGTTTTCAAACCCCACTCCGTCACACCAAGCATCAAGCAGCTTTCAAACATGAAGGCCATACTTCCCTCACCAACCTTCTGTGGCGAGAGCGCTGCATTTGAAGCCTTTTCAAACGTGTCTGCATCCGGCCCGTGAGCGGACATGACATTGTGCAGACTGGCACCTGCAGGCTGAAACCCGCCACCGGCCTTGGCATCATACTGGCCGCAAATCAGACCCATGAACTCAGACATGGTGTTGCGGTGATACCAAGGCGGGCGGAAAGTATCCTCCTGGACGAGCCAGCGAGGGGGGAAGATTACGAAGTCTGCGATTGCAGTTCCGGGGCGATCTGAGGGTCCGGTCAAGACAGTGTAGATGGAAGGATCCGGATGATCAAATGAGGTGCTTCCAATCACTGAAAACCGACCGAGATCGTACTTGTAGGGGTAAACTATCAAAGAGTTAGCTTCAACAATTGTCGGTCTAGATCACAGGAGAGAACATACAGCTGGTCCACCAGTTAGCGCGGTTTACGCATCAGAACGAATAGGGGTACTTACTTTCCATGCCAAGCTACCACATCGAACGGAGTATGCTTCTGCTTGGCCTCGAACAGCTTCTCATTATACTTGGTAACAATCGTCCATTCAGTCTCTGTGTCCTGAGTATAGTCCGCTACTGGGATCTGAAAGTCTCTTGGGTTTGCCAGGCAGTTGGATCCAATGGGTCCCAGCTCAGGAAGAATAAAGTGTCCCTGGTAGAGCTCCAGGATGTAGCCCCTAGCCGGACCCTCTGGGAGATCAACACGGTATTTAATACCGCGGGGCAGAACTGCGATTTCGTTTGGGCGAACCAGGAGGTTTCCTAGCTCTGTCTTGATATCCAGGATGCCGTGCTGAGCGACGACAAGCATCTCGCCATCTGAAGAGTAGATGGCGGTATTGGCGTGCATGCTGCGACCAACCGTGAAGATGTAGATTCCAAGACCAGCCTTCATGGATGGGTCGCCGTTTCCTGAGACTTTCTTCAGACCGCGGACCCAATCAACCTCCTCGTCAATGTCAAACGGATTCCATCTGAGTTGATTGGGAATCTGCTCAAGCGGCGCATTCAGCTCTGGCGCAGTGGATGCTACTGGCTGGAATGCCGAGTGAGCGGCGGACGGGAGGATACGATAGAGCCATGATTGCTGGTTCTCGCCCCTGGGGGCTGTGAAAGCAGTCCCAGACAGCTTCTCAGCATAGAGGCCATACGGAGCTTTCTGGGGTGAGTTGGCGCCAATTGGCAGTGCCCCTTTTACAGCCTCGGACCTGCAGATTACTGGTTACAGACTGCAAATAAATGAAGGTCTGATGCATAAACCATGGGTTTATGTGGCCCAACTTACTCGTGAAAGGAGTTAAACCCATTGAGGTATTGATACTTCTCAGGGGTCTTGAAGTCTGTGACAGGCATGATGATAAGGGCTTTGAGCAGTCAACTAAGATACGAGCTTGGTCAAGGCAAAGTCCAATCAGTATGTCAGAGTCCACAATGGATTGCCGCTAAACAAATTGGCCTGACCGTGTAGATAATCTCCTATTCACTTGTTTGGATGGCGGCGACGGAGGGAATCAAGTATGCGCTTCAAGCCCAAGATAACAGGAACATGAGTCAGATCTCGTCACTCTTTCATCATTATCTCCTCCAGATGCCTAAATATGCTAATTATCCAGCGTCGTACCATGTAGAAGGCGCGTAACGCCGTCCGGTCTGCGGAGGCTCGGAACCTCGGAAATTTCCGCCAACAACCACAGCTAACGAGCTCGGAACTGCTTTCAGACACCGATTGCGAACTTGGATTCCATCCAGTGAACCAGAACTATGTGGATCATGAGATGGAAGTGGTGGATATAGCATCGGGTATTGCAAGGCGATGAGACCTTTTCTTGGAGTCGCTCTCTCGTTGATCCTCTCTACAAGTATTGCCAGTGCTCATCTCAGATACGAAAGAAGCAGACCATTCTCTAAGACTCACAAAGCGTATCCGGCATACAATTTCCTTCACAGCCATTCACTCAAGATGACGAAATCCTGGCTCTCAATCCCTTCGGGGTCTCATTTCTCCTTAGCCAACATCCCATTTGGCATCATCACCCACTCCAGATTCCAAGTCCCCCGCATCGCAGTCGCTGTAGGCGAGCATGCTCTGGACGTGAACACTTTTGCACAGAAGGGCGGCTTTGCTAAATGCGCCGGTCTAGATTCCAGTGCCCTGAAGGTTTTCACAGAGCAATCGCTCAACGCTTTTGCGGCATTGGGTCGTTCGCATCATCGCACCGTCCGCAATTACCTGCGCGACGTTTTCCGGGCTGATACGCCCTACCCCGAGGTTCTACAGGCCAACGACGGTCTCAAGAATGAGGCGTTGATTCCCCTCAGCGAGGTACAAAATCATCTTCCCTTGACCATTGGAGATTACACGGATTTCTTCGCTGGTCGTAACCATGCCCACAATGTTGGAACACTCTTCCGTGGCCCAGCCAACGCCCTCAACCCCAACTACAACCACGTCCCTGTAGCCTACCACGGACGTGCCAGCTCCGTCGTGGTGTCTGGGACCCCTCTGAACCGCCCTTGGGGACAGGTCCTTCCCGCACCTGGCGCTACAACTCCCGTTTTCAAGCCCTGTGCCAAGCTTGATATTGAGCTCGAGCTGGGCATGTTCATCTCCCGCGGGAACAAACTCGGACAGCCCATCAACGTTGATGACGCCGAGGAGCACATCTTTGGTTATGTCCTGATGAACGACTGGAGTGCAAGAGACGTCCAGCAGTGGGAGTATGTGCCGCTGGGTCCCTTCAATGCCAAGAACTTTGGCACGACCATCAGCGCGTGGGTTGTGCTCGCCGATGCTTTGGAGCCTTTCAAGACTGCTGGCCTTACCAATGAGGTCGAGCTCCAGGACTACCTCAAGGAAACGAAGAAGGATAACGTTGTGGACATCAATCTCGAGGTTGCGCTAATCAGTAAGTACCCACGGAGCTGCTCCAACCCAATTGCTGAGCTTTGTTGCTAACCGAACCTCTTAGCCGAGAATGGTGACGAAAATGTTATTTCAAAGACATCTTCCAAGAATCTCTTGTGGTCTTGGCCGCAGATGGTCGCACACCACAGTATCACAGGCTGCAACCTGCGCACGGGTGATTTACTTGGATCCGGTACCATCTCAGGCTTTGAAGCCGGTACACAGGGCAGTATCTTAGAACAGACGCTCGGAGGCAAGACTCCGCTAGAGCTCAAGGGCGGAGAGAAGCGTAGCTTTGTAAACGACGGTGACACGATCCGCATTAGGGGAGTTGCGGGCTCCGTTGATGGCGAGCTTGTTGGGTTTGGCGAGTGCGTTGGAAAGATCCTAGCACCCATCTCCAGAAATTGAATATCAGCATATCAATATAGAGTTCAAAAATTGTAGCTTCTTCAATCACAACTCAGCCATAGTAGAGGCAAAGGGTCGCATTGCCCCCGGGAAATTTCGAGGGGCACGCGAATAGCTATGGGCGCGCTGTGATTCCTCATTGTAGTATTGCATGAGCTGCTTCTTCGTGATTGTCCTCAGAGCAAAATGGATGAAATCGGCCGGGCTGACAGGTCGACTGAGTAAGGAAAAGATTTTCTTTGCCCGTTAATCAGTTTCTATGGCGATTCGCCAGAGCTTAGCACCATCTACTAAAACGGAATTGATTGAAGACTTGACTTTCTTTGTCAAAGGAGGGTTCGGTCTAAATTGGTGATGAAGAAGGGTGGTCACGTGTTATTTCTACTCATCCATCCAACAAGTTAGTCACGTGCGCTGCCCACCCCCAAACGGCTCGCGGGATATTCAATGTTCCGAGCGCTCTGTGTTACCTACCCTATACTTCTGATGTCAAGATTAGGTCTGAAACATTAAGCGTCTATATTCCTTGTCGTAGACATTGGAATGATTTTTACTGTAAGTAATATAATTCTTGATCATGTCCAGTGCTTTTTTAAAAAGTGTCATCGCAGTGGTATTTTGTCGTAATCGTTTGTTGTTCGACTTGTTGGTGTTATAATTACCGTGAAGCAAGGGACCACATCTCTCTCACACTTCAACCAACCAACTTGAGTGCCTATTAACAATTACCGATGCCCAACAGGCCAGAAAATTCCCCATTAAGATGTTCTTCTACAGTATGCTGCTATAAGGGATGTCTGAAGCTCTGTAAGTTCCGCGTTTGTGATGATGAACCCTTGCGCAATCCCAGTTCAGCTAGCGCTCGGCGGCTCCGCGCGCTTCTTATTGGTTGCGAGACAATGTCAATGTTTCGAGTCACGAAAGGGAGCCCTGATCTATCGACACGACTTCAAGCTTTACCTGGTCAGGAGGATAAGAACGAATCCCACGTGTCGTGTTGTGGGCCCTGATTTGAGGTCTATTACGATGTGGATGTGGGTTCTTGGTGGTGATTTCTGGCCACCATCGGAGCTATCACAACTGCTGAAGGTGTAATTATTGGATGCTATACGACACTAGTGAATGGAGCCCAGGTACGATCCAGCCAATCCAAGCCCCAACATCATCAGCCGCACGGATGGACATGTGCTGACAAAAATCCTAGACTACGCGCTTGAATTTGTGTCATGGGAGCCACTTACCCAAATCCCCACGCCAGGTCTAGCTCCCCTCACAATTTACAAAACAAGGGGGAACGCGCGCTCACCCTGCCCTCAATTAGTAACGACGGGGATGGATGCTAAACTGTTGACGTGCTAACCGTAGGAGGTTTCGCAACATGAATCCAGTTTTGATGTAGGGCATCCCCTAGCCGCCATTGTTTCCCTTTAGCAGTTAGCCAAATTCACATTCTGGTTCGGGTGTAAAGGGGTCATCTGGTAGCAATCCACTAGGTAAACACCCTGTCAACATCCTTGGTTATCTCACCATTAAAATCCGGTTGCAAGTGACTGAGAACTCCTTGAAACTAAGATGGTATGGAATAAGGTGTTTTTTACTCCCTCGCTCAACGATTGAGTAAGTGCTACCTTCCCTACTTGTTAGAATCAATCACACGATGAAAAAAGACATATGCGTGATTCAGTTCGTGGGAATCCAATATATTGATTTTAATATTTGTTTCGATCTGCTGTGATGACAGAATCAACCGCTCCCGACTTTTTCTTCCGCAGAGGGTCAACATGGTCCATGATGTATGTGTCTTTATAGTGTTCATTGTGACTCGATTCCCCGCGAGAGTTATTCCACAACCTCCGCTCTCCATCGCTGTTATCGTGGCTATAAAGACTCTCGGAGCGTTCCAGATGCATGCTGCGAGATGCAACTTGAACATCAATCTCGCGGGTGACAAATATGGCGTTCATTGTGCTTCTAATGACGGGCCAGAACACCGGGATGGAAGCGCCTATGCAGGCAACGTTGACCTCGAGCATCCCCAGTAAGCAGAGAGGTGGTGCGTACCAAGAATGGTCGAAGGTTGGGTGCGACATAGCCTTGTGTTTGACTGTTTCGGCGAGGCGAAGCACCGCGAGAATGTTCGCACTATGAAAATCAGTAATTAGTCCCATTTGCTTTGGCCATCTACCACAAACTCACATGAGCCCGAGTGTTAGTAAACCGGCGATACCCAGCTTCGTTCGCTTTAATGTGTCCGAGTCCCAAAGAAGTGGTGTCGGTAGAAGTAGAATAATAATGTCCAGGAGCATGTTGGCAATCGAATGTGCGAGGAAAGTTGCGTAGTGGTCCGAAACATAGAGCGAGCCGTATCCGTAGCATTTTCTGTCCGTTATACTCCAATCCCAATACCCTTTTATCGGAAAGCATGGGAACCAAGCCATGAATGTCGTGACAGAACCCCAGATTGCGACGGCGATCAATACAACCATGCAGGCATCTCGTTGGACGGTATGTCGTTTGAATACTCGGAGATATTGTAGTAATAAGGAGCTCTTAATCATCCCGACCGAAGTGACAAAACTGCCATCTGCCAGGTAGAAGAGAAAGAAATATGTTTTTCGTTTTTCGGCCGACAATTCGACAAAATGCTCACCCAGACCTCCGAGGTATGGCGCTGTGTGTTCATTAGTTAAATGGTCATTAAACTGTAATTCGTCATGAGAAGAGCACACACCTAGACACATACAAACAACCCCAATAACTCCTACCAACTGTACGTTGCAATCTTAGTTTCGTCATCTTATTCCTGCAAAGGGTCTTTTGTATACCATCGCTGTCCCCATCATGTAGTCGTCCCATCCTGGCACTCGAAGAACGAAGAATCTCGTGTGTAATCTGAAGGAGACGCAGATTGACGTTATGGCCTGCCGAAGTCCTGGATCAGCGGATAGAGCCGTGCGCGAAAGGAATACCGTGACCGTACACTAAAAGCGAGCGTGGTGCCTAGAATCGTGGCTGGTCGATTCCAGCTTGGCACTGGATCATTGAGATTGTCCACTGCGCTGATTTGGCTTTCGATTGTGACATAATTCGGCATGGCTCAGTTTGATGCCGGCTCATTTGAGCTTCATGGTCCTATAGTTGACTTCGAAGTTTGATCGCAAGAGCCTGCGCATATATGGGGTATATCAAATAGTAGGTAATGCGGCCTGCCATCGTTTTTGACGGGAAGGAGAACAAAATCAGGGATGGGGAGGGGGCCTCTTTTGTTCAGATACGGCAAAGTCCATCACTAGCACGTGAAGCAAAACGCGCCTGCAGCTGATCCATGCAGCGACCGTTGTAAAGCGAGCAGGACTAGGGAGATAAGAGCCGGGTACGCCGTTAGTTTTGTGATACGATCAGCAGTGCTCGAGACATGGCTGTCACATTTACCCCAATATACGAGGGCCAGGGCAACTTGGACAAGGACCCAGGTAATCCGGCAGTCCAATAGGAACACTTGCTTTTTCCATAGCTGCAAGCACTAAGCTAACTTCAACCATGAATTCGCCGTTCCACTTTTGAAGGAACGTCAAATTTCCTCCCGAACCAGGGTCCTACACAGGGTGCCAAGTACCGGCATCAAAACATGCTATAAATTCTCCTTTGCATCATTTGATGCCACGATTTGTGAGATTGAGTGGGGATCCTCGCGGAAATTATTCTTCTCATCGGACTCATTTCAACGGCGGAAGAGTGAAAGCCAAACTCACCGACTCTTTTCAATAGCTCAGCCCGGTTTCACGATTTCAGTCCTTCCAGCTGACTCATTAACTGGAGGAAGGAGAGGATTGCTTGCTAATAGTTAGTGACTGCCTAAGCATGCTCCCCCGTTCTTGGAGATGCCCTTTAGCACAGACCCCGGATTTGACAGTTGCTAGACGATGTGGAGCACGGCACGTTTAATCTGAAAGTCTTGGCTTTGCTACAAACTGACAGATAATGTGAGATCGGTGTTGGACCTCGTATGAGAGTTCTGTTAGCTGCTTAGAAATATTTTGCCCGCGTTTGGACTCCACTCATGGAAGCAATCGCCCCAGACAAGTTCGTTTATTATTGATTTGAACTACTAGAATAGAATCCCCTTCCATTCAAAATTGTATAACATAAAACACACGACTTATCTTCACTAACGTCGCCTTCAACTTGAACAACTGAAAGTGCTAATCTCATCAGTGCTGGACTCAATGCACACATAGAAAGGAGAGGCCGTTTCGTCGGCGACCTCGATAAAGAACACGTTATGGCCAAAATCAGTGGCGAATTTCCGGGCTGACGTTCCAAAGATGCAGGACATTCCCTGATCGCCGAAAGTAATTGCAGTACTGGTGCATTGATCGTAATACGTGTTGATTGACTTAGACCCTGTTGTCACCCTTGACTTGGGAGGCACTAATTAACAGAGCTTTTATATGAAGGCACCTTCAGTGATCCTAAAGCCGACGCAACAATAACACACCGCATCTACAAAAAAATCATTTGTCGCTACACAGGGATAATATCATGCCCATGGTCGCGCCCATATGCGAGCTCGCAGATTTATACCTGCGTTGATGACGATTGTTAAGTGGATTGGCGAGGGACGTACCCTGTTCATAAAGGCCCCACATAGTAGCTCTCGTTATCGCGCGAAGCCCCGTCTTTGATGAAGACCAAAAAACCGGCAAAAGAAATGGAGTTTGTGTGGATCGAACACACGACCTTCAGATGTCAGTGAGGACTGAAGTCGAACTTCAGTCTGACGCTCTCCCAACTGAGCTAAAACTCCAACTTGACAAGGAGCGGCATACAATGGGCAATACCGGTAGGACGAGCTGGCGCAACAGACGAGCAATGAGCCCAAGGCCCCGATTCCTGTGAGATGGCCAAATGAGAACAAAAGAAGCATATACGCCGAGAAGGTGTACTATTTCAATAATTTTGATGGTCTTCCCGACTAGTGGTGAAGCAGTAAAAAGTCCGGGACGAAGAGAAGTGCTACATAGATATAGCATATCAGCAGGGCAGCTACCACAAAAAGAATCAGCCTCATCGGCATAACAAGTTGCACCGGGATGCTGTGGATTGTTGAACTATCCATGAGGCAATGATGTTTTGCCCTGGTTCGTTCGTCACATATCGAGGGTTTGCACACCTTGTGCTGGATTTTCAAATACGATGCTGAGCATTTTCACGCGAAAGGTCATCGGCTCACATCTTCAACTGAACACATCATTAGTCGTTAAGTGATATGACGGCCATGTGAGATCGGGAAATCTTCGTCTCATGCGTCTATGTGATCGATCCTGGAAATGATGAGTCGCTATGAACATGGACGTGGTGCGGACTCATGCCCTAGACACCTAATTTATAATGAGACGATTGGAGCCTCGGGATTCAAGAGAATAGTGTAAGCAGATTATTATTCAATAGATAGACCGCAGGCTCGAAACAATTATCGGCTCTTGTTATGTAATCCACCGTCTTATGTTGCTCGACCAATGTATGCTGAGACCCGATTCGAGTCTGGCATTTCATGAACTGTTGCTGACTGTGCCTGAGGGATAACCACTGGAGCGAACCCTTCCACTCCCCGTGTTCTAGGAGATAATTCATCTGGAGGCATTTCATGGACAGGTGTCGAAAGCGCCTCGGAAATACCCGTCGAAGAAAGCTCTCCCACTTCATGGGGTAAGTCATAAGGAGGCAAATAACTAACGGTTGACGCTGGGTCAAAATAGCTGTCATTTTGACGTATGCCTGGGAGTTCGTGCCGTGGTGCCACCGGCAACCCTGCCAACTCTGTTTTGATCGTCTTCTCGGAATCATTTCCTTCATCCGGTTGCGGAGAGGTTTTTGCTTCTCGTTTGTGAATGAAGAACCAGGCAGCAAATACGATCAAAGCCAAACCTCCTATAACAGAGCCCACGATGGCTCCTATCAAGCTGCCACGCGACATGCTGGACCCAGCCCGGGCCTCGTCGTTGGGTGGACTGGACACAGAGCCAACTGAAGAAGTTTCCGATGCTGGCTCTGTAGCCGAGGTTTGGGTCGTTGAGCTTTCGACTGTTGAGCTGAGGATGGTCGTGCGGCGTGTGACGGTTTTGATATTCAGCCCAGCAATCGTTGGCAAAGACTGACTTGGGTTGACTACCCATGCTGAGGCTGAGTTTGACGTAGGGCATGCGGGCGCGGTTTCTGTTGGCTGGTATGAGAACATGGCAGTCCCCGTCGGATTGATAGTAGAGAGCATGGACTCTACGGCCAGATAATCACTCAGGGCGGTGGGAGTTCCCGTTTGCGCTGCGTTAAAGTATTCCACAAGGCCCCAGTTGTCAGCTCCATACTGACCCCATTGATATATAATGGCACCAGAGAATGTATCCTGAAACGACGAATTGAATATAGCGGAAACATCGCTAAAATCGCGCTTTCCTTCTGCATCCTCGATACACCCTGCGCTCGTAAAGATTATAGGCATGTTATAGTGTTGGAATGACCTGTGTATACTGCTCAAGCCCAATTTCATAGTTGTTTTCTCACATAACGCGTAGGATTCCACCCCCAGCATCTCAATTGTGTCTTCGTCGTCACCGCAAGCGAGATATCCCCCAGAGAATGAGAGTTGTGGTTGGTCGTCGAACGAAGCGTACGAAATCGGTATCTGACGGTAACCTCTGGCGTTTCGAAAGGCTTTGATATCTCTTGTTGCTGCCTTTACATATGGGGCCGAGAGACTTCCCTCGGCTGTTGGTGACGTTAAAAATCACTTCATTCTATTGCATACGAAAGAGACATACTGGTATTATCCATCGTCGCGCTAGCAACTGTGAAAGCGAGCAGGTTATCGTAGCCTGCAAATTCATCGACAGTCGAAGTCCAATTGTTGTACATTGGCATTGTCCATTTTGGTTCAAGCTGTAATCACGAAGTTATTGACCTTGGTTCGGAATATCAAAAGCAATCACTACTTACTCTGTCGATCCAATAGTCTGGGACAATAGCCAATTCGAGCCAAATGTAGATGCCTTCTCGAGCAAAGGTATCCATGCAGTCGTTGTGCTTCTTTGTCGAATCTGCTCCCAATACACGAATTGTATTTACCCCCAGTCTCTTCATGAACTTCGCGTCGATTTCGCATTTCTTTCTGTCAAGGAGAGGATCATATAAAGAGCTGTTGCCTACGTATTGAACTCCTGCGGAAGAACTCAGTGAGAATTCCTTCGTAAACGACAATAAAGGGAGAACAGACCTTTGACGAAGAATTGGGTCCCATTTTCATCGTACAATTTGGACCCTTTGATGGATATGGGGGAAATGGATGTGACGAGGCCTAGGAAGAGAAGGACCGTCCAGAATACTATTGCTCGAAGCGTGGCGAACCGCTCCATTGCGAAAACTACCACAGACGACAGTTTCTGGATATCAATTAGGTTTGTCTCCAACGCTAGATTTTTAGGATGAACAAAACACTTATGGCCGAGAAATAGAAATATCATGTATCATCCGACGAAGATTTGGGAACTGCCGCTTTCGGATATTTATTTTTGTTTTGATAATGCATTAATCTATTTCATACTGAAGGATTATAAAAGGGATCGCCAAGACATAAATGCGCCAGCATAACCATATCGGCTCGACTTGTCAACAGTCGGAACAGCACTCCTGTGAGAGGAATTTAAGCGCCATCAGGCTGTCTAATACTTGAGCTGTGTGAAGATTTGGTGAATGATTTCTCTATGCTGATAAATTGAAGTAAACCCCAGAGTCCGACATAATGCATAAATACCGCTATTTCCTCTTCATCCAAAAAGGAAGGAGGGTCATAAAAGCAGCTTCGGCTCCTATAAATGAAACGCCAAGGAAATCATCGTGTTATACATAACAACGGGACTGGAGAAGGACTTATATTGCAAGTTGATTTCCTCCCGTCCCGTCCGTATCAATTTAACAGAAACCTATATTACGTGTGCTGAAAATATTAGGAACTCATTGTGTGCAAAGAAGTATGTGCAAAGAAGTATGTGCATGGCTAGATGAGAATCTTCTGATGTGCACAAGATGAATTCACGCTTAGGGCTGCAGAGATGGCTGCTACTATCCTAGCATTGCAGGTCTGAACTCACCCGATGCCTGTTGTATGAGTAGGGCCATATACCTAGTCTTGGGTATTTAGTGCATCTTATCATAGAGAAATTGAAGTGATGAGGTGTCGACTGGTATCAGAAGTTGAGCGTCCTTTTCATGCTCAATTCACCGTGATTACTACGGCATTTTCAAAATGCGGAAAGGCCTTAATAAGTATGCCTTAATAAGTATAATGTATAAACCTAAATTAGAAGCCTGCAAGTATCGCAATTGATTGTCGGATGTTAGCATGGGTTTCAGCGACCTCAGGTGACTTTCATTTCCGGCGATTGACAAATTGGGAATAGGATCAGACGGAAGCCAAGGTCAGCAATAGAGGGTTATATATATTGAATAGATTCCATGAAGAGGAATTTGAATGCGAACTTGATCCTGTCTGATAAAGAGGCTTTATCGGCGAGGAATAGCAGAAATCATATTCAATGTTGAAGTTTTTTCTCAAAGTACATTTTCTACAGTAGCATTATTGATTCCTTAGATTGGGTCCTTTTTAATTCCATATGATCTGAGACTTCTGACAAATGTTTAGTCAGGCAGGAAGGTCCTTGGATAAACTGATCCGGCCGGAACGTTGAGATCTCAATGCAACACAGTGTTGGAACTTGGCCGCTCCACAGCAGCCCTCGCTTTGTGGCTCAGGGAGAGTTGACGATGTGCACAATTCTCCTGATTGGCAGAGTCGTTTGAGTTCCTTAGGTTAGGAGATTCTAAATTTTTCTTCAAGTATGTATAGCAACTTGCTGGAAAGAAGGTGAGGTCATATCCGGCTAGGGTAGACCCAGTTTAATAAGGGATCAGAGTATAGCAGCTTTCATGCCAACACGGGCAAGCACAAATCATGATAATTGTACTCTATCTCAGTTGGTGTCCCATATTTATAGAACACGCAAGTGAAGGTACAAAGATTCCATGCCCTAAGGACCAGGAACTCAGATATCGAACAGCGTGCCTCACTCATCCCTTAGCCGGTTCCGGGTCTGTCAAGTGAATTGGGTTGCATCAAGATTCCGAAAAATGTGGGGTGCATCAACACTCATCATTGCTCACAGTCGCCAAATAATTTTTTTCCGCTCATAATTGTACGATAGGCATGATTGGCTTTTCTTCTCTGATGACAACTACACCAATCTTTTCATTCTTGAAACCCTTAGGAAAGACATATTCTCATGGTTTAGTACACGAAGCAATACTATGGCATCTGAAAAGAAGACTAATGAGGGTGAAGCGATCACTATTGATGATGTCGCTAAGAGATCTGAAATTGTCGAGATTGACCCCGCGGAGGAGAAGAAATTGGTGAGAAAGATCGATTGGAAGTTAATGCCAGTAGTGAGTCTGCCAACAAGGAAAGCACAATGAAGCTACTGATCACACCTGAGTAGCTTTGCTTTACCTATGCCCTCCAGTATTATGACAAGGCCATTCTTAGCCAAGCAGCGGTGTTCGGACTGAGGGAAGATCTCCAGCTCGCCGATGGCCTCAGATATAGCTGGGTGTCGCTGATATTTTACTTTGGCTATCTGATTGGGACATACCCGCTGTCGTTCCTTGCCCAGAAATACCCGCCGCGTATCATTTGCGCCATCATTTGCATTCTTTGGGCTGTGGTTATCATTTGCACACCTGCTGCTGGGTCTTATGGCGGGCTTCTGGCGAATCGCTTCTTGTTAGGGGTGACTGAAGCTGGTGTGTCTCCGATCTTCATGCTTGTTGTCGGCATGTGGTATACACACCCAGAGCAAGTCTTGCGTTCCAGCTTCTGGTACTCATTCAGTGGTGGATCGTTGGTCATATCGCCACTCATCAACTATGGACTTGGCCATATATCCGGGGCTGGCCTGCACCCCTGGCAATACATGTACCTGATCGCAGGTGCAGCTACTTTCCTCTGGGGAATAGCTCTGTGGTGGCTCTTCCCGGAAACACCGTGGCATGCCCCAGGGTTCGATGAACATGAGAGGAAGGTACTTCTTGAACGCATCAAGGCGAACAATGCAGGGTCTGAAAACCACAATATCAAGGTTCACCATGTGCGAGAGGCACTGAGCGACTATCAATTCTGGAGCCTCATTCTTTTGTCCATCACGACTTGTACTGGCGGCGGCGTTATAAATACATTTTCATCCATCGTATTCAACGGCATGGGGTTCACTAACTTCCAGTCTCTTTTGCTCAACCTTCCAAACGGGGGAATGGCTTTCCTTTGTATCCTGGGATCAGGGTACATTGGGAGGATGGTACCTAATTCACGATTATATGTCGTGGCAGCGTCTAGTTTTCCTGTTATTCTTGGCTGCGCTTTACTGTAAGGATATCTCAATTTTTGAAAGCTCTTAGCAGCCGGTTGACATTTCCGCTTTTCTACTAGCTGGAAACTACCAGATTCTATGAGAGCAGGCCGGATCGTTGGCTTTTATCTTATCAACTGCTTTTCTTCTGGCTGGGTTCAATGCATCGGCCTCGGCACATCCAACGTCGCAGGCCATACAAAGAAGTCTGTCTATGCTGCAGGTACATTCGTTGGCTATTCAGTTGGGAATATCATTGGCCCATTGGTCTTTGATGCGTAAGTTGTTTCAGTGACAAACATATCAGTCTAAAGCAGAGACTAACAGCTAAATAGAAAATATGCACCACGATACAAAGAAAGCTTTATTGGTATCATGGTTTGTTTTAGTGTCTCTTTGGTTATTTCTTTATGATTGAGAGCCTTGTTAGTGAGGGAAAATGTCAAGAGACAAAGCAAGTACGGAGATCCGGAGCTGAGTCATGGATTGGAAGATTTGACTGATGGAGAAAATAAGTCGTTTAGATATAATCTCTAGCTGTAGGATGGCCAGTCGAATCCATAGCAATCTATGCAAGGAAATGCGTTCAAAAGCTAAAATAGGAGGTAGCAGACCTTGAATTCGGAGGGCATTGAATAATAACAAGTAGACATTGATTGACCTACTTTGTACGCAAAAAGGGCCAGCTCGCCTTATGTCTGGATTGATTTCTTTCCATCTGCTGCAGCAATCAACGCTGAATTTCTGTCTCTTCACGCCGATTTAATATTGAACGCACTCAAGAAATTTTCAACTTACAAAGTCTGGTTTTAATTCTCTGTATCCAGTTGATTTAGCCTACCACGGTAGTACTCTTATTATTGACTTGACTATTTAATTCTTGAAAGTAGGCAAGTTCTTGAATCGCACGCTGGCGCTTTGGTTGTGTTATCAATAACCTAGTGCATATAGGAGCTTCGCGCGTGCTGCTTTGATTCCTTTTGGCGCGGGTGAAAAAGGGAAGCATGATGATGAATTTATCGCATCAAACCCTGCACCCTATTTTCCATCATGTATCTCTCTGTCCTCCAACAAGTCCATTGTTAGCCTTGGCTTGCCCTCTGGCCAATGGTGCTCTTCCCAAAACTCATACTCTTCCTTGGCACCATCCTTGATCATCTGCAATACGCCGGTTTGAATTTTGTTCTGAAGATAGTCGTGAATTTGGGCAGTGAGGTCTTCCCACTCCAGCTTCGTGTTGGTGGGCAGCGCCATTTTGTCCCCGCGTAGGCTTTTCAGATTGTCTAAAACAGCCTGTATCCAGTTTTGAGAGGTATAATTGATGCCGAGAGGTGTCTGCACTTCTCTAATGGCGTTTATCACAAGGTCCTCGTCCCGGATTTTCCCGATCATGAATCGAGCTATGAAATCATCGTTCTCCCTCACATGCTCCCACACGACCGCGTTTCCTAATGTGGTGGTAAATCGGATACCGGGGACTTGGTTTTCGCCTTCTTCGTTCTTGTCACATATGAGAATCATCCAACGATATCTCGACAATATCGTCAGCTAGACAGCAAAGACTTAGGGTGGGTCTACTCACGGGTTTGATAGGCTGTACTTTTCCTCTATAGTTTCCTTGCGGATGACAATATAAAGGCGACGTTTATTCTTCATGTTGGCTGCTGCTGAATGTTCAAGTTCTTGTCTGGCTGATATAGCTTCAGTTTGGTGGAAGAAGATTCTCAAGAAGTGAAATCGAAATCTCCCAAGGTGTAGGTGTTGTTTATCCTCAGGCAGGTAGGTGCTACCTACAGGTTGGTCTTGCCTCCTGTGCGCCTCCTGGGAACGGTGATTTGGGGGTCCATGACATAAGGTTCTGCTGTGAATCGGACATGCCTCCCTCCCAAAGCAGAAGCAAACAATGGCAAGCGGGATACAAACAACTTCATTGTGGAAAATCCATTCTTAGATCTATGTGGAACTCTGAGAGTCAGCATGTTCAACATAATTGCATAAAGACAAATCCAAAGGAGGGCTGATGGCTCATACGAAGCGTCTTTGTTGTTACCTTCAACTCATTGGCTCTTTGACTTCTATTTTTGATTCTGTGAGAGTCACTCCGAATGTGGTAAAGGACACAACCACTTAGCTACACTATATATCTATGGGATGGACAAAAAAGATTCTTTTCAAAATAAGACAAACCAAATTTATATAAGACAAACCAAATTTATCTCTGAGCTAGATGATCACGTGCAGTGGCCAGCAAGGGAGAGCGAATGTCTGTTGCTGAGAGGTTTGCCATTGTAAGTTGATTTACCGGGCTAGCCTTTTGGCTAACAAAATCGCATTCCTCATTCAATCCCTCATGTAGTTTGCTTCCCCAACTGATGGATGGCCCTGACGACTTCGCAAGTCATCTGGGCTCAATACAGACTTGCGCATGTGTCGATCATCGTGAATTGTCCCTGTTTCTTTAGGCAGCCTGGACCTTCTAAATAGCGCGTAGTTCACGAAAGCAAGACAAGCCCGTTAATACCTTTCTTATCAGCAATGGTAATTCCCACTATAAGCATAGCCATTCTGCTCATCAGATGGTGAAGTTGACTGTAAAAAAGGATAGAAACGTTCTGCTTTCCCCCCTCCTATCACAGACACCGGTAGCTTTTCGCGGGCAAGTCTTATTCCGTGAAATCCCCTTCTTGTCTATCCCTGTGTTCGGTATTTGCGTCTCTGTGGATGAATGTTATCTGCTCAAGACCGTAGATAAATGATTGATCGAAAATTCTCGTTAGACACACCACTCGTTGTCATATTCTCAACAGCATTATTGTATGAGATGAGTCGTACTCCCCTCCAACACACCGGCTTCCTTTTATACACTCCCCATTGCCCAAGCCACTCTGGGCAAGATGATGGTCTAGACCCTTATTAGAGCTTGTATGGGCCAAGGCACTTACACCAATTCGGCAATCAATGTGGTAACCCTGTCGTGGAAGAACTCCGCAAGCTCCGCACCCGTTTTGACGCTTCATCAGCAACTTGTCCGCAAACTCCACAGTCTACGCACTCAATTCAATAGCTTACATGTGCGCTTCTCTTGTATCAGGCCATACCATCTCATCCAGAGCTTTCAGCAAAATCAATCATGCCGGCCCAACTTGTTTTTGTACTTGCGGATAACTCCGGCAATATTCAACCTGCTGAACGGCAGCTGATTCGGCATCACTGCATGCAGAAGAGGAACAAACAACTAGGCTCCCGTCGAACTCGCCGAGAAGATGCGCGGGTAAAAGCAGGGCAGTGGCTGAAAGCCGAAGCCGAAGCCAGGAACAAGCATGTTCGTCGACAAAGAGCGACCCTGGCGAGTGTTCCGCCTAAGCAGGAGACGCGCCATCCGACACACGGGATCAATCCTTCGCCAATACCAGCGCCATCCGATTGGGCTCTCTTCACTTTTCCGAGAGAACTTGACGAGTTCAACCAGGGTCTTTTGCATCAATGTATGCCCTCTCTGCTTACGAATGCACTTAAGAATACGGATGTCTAAGTTAATCCTCGATAGACTTTGCCATTAATCCAATTAGAGATCTGATGTGCTCTTTTAAGCACTTTGGAATCAAAATCGACTTCGATGCAGACCCAACGAGGTGCTTTCGGTTGATCGTATCACAGGAAATGTGCTTCCACGCAATTCTGCTCCTAGCTTCAGCTTCAAACGACCTTGCATCCCAGAAACCATTATCGAAAGCGTCGTACCGCCACCTCCAGCGGACTTTACCGCTTTTAAACCAAAGGCTCTCTGATCCAAATGCGTTTAGAGATGACATGGTTCTCTACGTGATCGGAATACTAGCTTCTATGACCATCTTCTTCAAAGATTATGAATCCGCGCAGGTACACGCTGCAGGAATTTCAAAAATCATGAGACTTCGTAAGAAGTTTGCTATCGAACCAAGACAAAAATCTATGATATTACTCTCAGTTGATCGGTAAGGGCTCATTCTCCATCTAAGAGGAAATCAGCTGGACCTTATTGACACATCACAGTTTAAACTTCTGCGGCTCTCTAGCTACTGATCTATGGACACCGGTGTATAACGAGTTGAATTGGAGCCAACCAGCTGTCCCGGCTCATATAATACATCTCCATGATTCGTATAATATGCTCTCGCTAGATGACCATGTTGACCCGGAGTTGGCGAACGTCTTCCGGAATCTCCAGTACCTTAGCATTCTCTTCAATGAGCACTTCTGCAGCAAGACACCCCTCGACGGTGCGGTTCTCCACGAATATCTGGAATATATACAATCCAGTCTTGTCAGTTTACTACCACGTCCGAGGGACAGTTTACAAAATTGCGTGTTCCAAGGGATGATGACATTTCTTGCAACAACCTTTCGGCTGCCTGGATCGTATACACACCCCAGCTGCCACAGCGCAGCAGCAAAGCTTCAAAGATGTTATGTTACGGCAAGGGCATCGATGGAGAGTTTGCCTAAAATTGCGGAGATTTGGTTGATATACATCTGTCTCATGTCTACTGAAAATGTGGACGAGATATTTGATGAAATTTTAATTGGAACGAGGTGGGAATTCTCAGATCTACGACGTTCCTCATGGGATGAAACTCGTCTACTATTAAAGCGAGTGATGTGGATAGATGCCTTCCATGATAAGGTCGGAAGGAAGACTTTTGAAAAATTGACGACTCGGCCTTGAGCTAGCTAAATACAAAAGTAACAAGTATAGCTGGGGCAATCGCATTGCAAGTGGTTTCGAGATTTTAAGCGCGTCATCACTATTGCCCCGAGCACGGAGAAGCATTTGTTTGGGCTTGTAGAAATTGTTAGATATTCATGCGTAGAGATTCGCTACAAGATTTTGATCCTTATCGGCGCTCGACTGTTTCCAACCATCTTGCCAGGCCAAAAGTTTTACATAAGTAACTGAAGCAGGTGTCCCGCCTTTCCGTGAGCGGTACTGCCTTTCTAGTCCCCTTTGGTTCCTGTGGGTTGCATCTAATAGCCATCGGAAGTTGTCCACAGACCATCGTCTCGAGAGCTGGCAGAATAGATGCATAGCCTTCGGCATAGTTTAGCATGCGGTTGCGATGCGCTCTTTCCCAGATCTCATGGTGCAAGATACTATTGTCCTCGATTATGCGTTGCACAGAGGCCGCGTCAAATTCTGGTCGCTCACTGGCGATTGCCCACATTGCCTCCGTGAGAGTCTGTCTCGTGTAGTAATCTTCGACATCAGGGTCGCCGTACCCTAGGGACTGGTATGTGTCACGGTAAAATGCCAGGACCTGCAGGTTTTGCAGCGGCCTCAAAAGCCTGGCAACACTTTCATGGTCCACAAGCCATAGAGGACGCGCTGAGGAAGTCTCACCGGCCCCAAGTTTCAATTTTTGCAGCGACGTGATTTGGCTCACCACAGCCAAGGATGCTTCCGGAACGTGTACGACCCTCGTCTGAGTCTCGTCAAACGCCCCGAACCAATGCAGGGAGAGGCTGGTAAGACATTCGAAACCTCCTTTGGCTAGGACTGGAATGATATAGTGGTCAAGATGTGCCCGGCTTCCCACTACGTAGTTATTTTCGTGGACACACAGTTTCTGGATTTTCTTATGCTCTTGTAAGAAGCGGGCTATCTCCTCGCTCAGCGTATCCTTGAACGGCAAGTCAGGTACGGCCAAGGTTTCAAGATCCCGAAATCCATCGCCAATCATAGCGGCCATGCTATTGGGATGCCGAATTTCCTGGGGTATCTCAAGACTTCTCACAGGGGAATCCATGAAAAGCGAAAGAAAGGAGGTGGGAGGGTCGAGGACACGAAGGCGTAAATCGCGCAGGCGCGGGAATGACGGAGGATTTTGGTCCTTGAAGAATACCATCTGGGACACCCGGGAGTCTCGTTCATTGAGCTTGAGAGATTCCAGCGTAGGGGCACATAGCCGAAGAAAGTCTTCATAGAACCCAACGCCAACCGGCTTCCCGTCGGATTCCCTGGGCAGGCTCATGTCGAGATCAAGTTTGCGCAAAGGCCACCCTGTTGGTGCAACGAGAGGGCGTAATGGAATAGGCCTTCTCAGCCTCAACCAATCCAGTATGACGTGCTGAGCTGACGAAAGGGAGATGAGTTTGAAGAAATCCTCGTTTATGAGGAAATCGTCACCCCACTTGAGAACCTCAAGATTGGGCATTGTCAAGGCGGAGACAGCAGCTAGTGAAGACACTTGAACGTGGCGATAGTGCACGTATGCCGTCTTGTGTATCGCGCAATTTTCCTCGTCGGATCTGAAATCAGACTCATCACTCAAGATTTCCGGGTGACACTGGCTTACATTATTGGGGTTTGAAGCGAAGGTCACCCGACGCACGCATGAGCCGATGCTGATTCGCTTGGTTCCCTTGTTGTTTATTACATGGGTGACATCGCTAAGAAGATGTTCGGCGAGGCTTTGGGCCCTCTGGCTGTAGTCAAAGTGGATGTCGGAAAATTGTCCAGAGCGAGCCAGATGCTGGCAGTCACTGTTGACCAAGGCTAAGGAGGCGAGGTCGGACGCCGACAACATATCGACAATTGAAGCCAAGATTTCTGCTGGCAATGACAGAAGCCTACTCTGGTCTGCGCGGGGGCGACCACCGGTCACCTTCTCAAGTAGTAGGCATCCAAGCTTGGCTTCGTCCGACTGTGCAAAGTTATCGTCCCCGGTAGGTCTGCTGGTCTCTCTTCGGCGTCGTAAACTCATCAGCGCGGATATATCTTCAGGCGCAAATCGGCCATTGACCAGCCTGTCAAGTTCTTGAAACATTTTGATTCGGGTAATGTGTGTTGTAGTTCGTTCTAGAAGCGTCGTTGTCGAGGGCTTCTTGTCACTCGTTACTGTTGATGGGGAGTCGTGTTACTTGCAAGAAAGGGCTCCCCCGATTCCAGACGCGTAAAGTATAGCGATCGCATCTGAAACTAGGCTTGTAAGACAGAACGCGTCGTGGATATACCCCTGATCGTCGAGCTGGGATAAGTTGAAATACGTCATTGGAATTACAGGTCTCAAAAGTTATTAACGTTAATTTGCTATATGAATCCACTATGACGTTCGGTAGACAGTACGTATTTTACAAGGATATCAATATATCAAAATAAATAGATCTACATTGTGGCGATATATCTCCTTATTGGCCACCTTAAATGCACTGATCTACATCTGTTGCTGGAACCTTTATTCAGGGTTTATAGTATGTGCGATAGTACTCAATACCTACAAAAGCGCAGGACCAATTATAATTAGTGAAATCTCGACGCTAACATTTGTGATCCTTGAGGGCTCTATATTAGCCATAGCGGTTGAACCGCCACATTTCGAGGTTGACGCTTTGATCGAAATGAAATGTAACTGTTTCCTTAAGCCTCGGGTTTCTCCTATACAAAACCAAATCGATCTCGAGTGGCTTGGGCATTTCTCAAGTGAGCTCTATAGAAGGGAAGCAAGAAGGGTTGAGCCTTCCAATCGACAATTGTGCTCCAGAGGCATCGCTCTTATCAGCCGATTGGTAGGGCTGAAATATCTGGTCTATATGCATAGAGGTCTAGGGTGGGAAGCGGCTTTTGTCTTGAAACTGGTTCCTCTTTTTCTTCTATCCTTTTACCATTCAATCTTTCCTCCTGCACGTTTGGAGTACTGGTGAAAGCTATGTGGCTAGCACGCATCCGGATAGAGGCTGCATGGATTTAGACAAGCCATGGAGTAGGAAACAACAAGGTGTCCCTTTTCATATCTACGTGAGAGTAAAAAGGTTGAATGCTGTATCCTGCCTTCACGATGTTCTCCTTGACTGGCTTGACGGATAGCGGCACATATACTTAGATGTGTTTGAGCGTCGCGTCGGCTGACTACGTATTGAACCTGCATGGGATCGAGTATGCACTTTATCTGAAACAAATCAACAAGTCCACTAAAGGGCTTCTTTCCTCTGAACAACCTGCAAGCCGTAGACGGTAATTGTAGCTTTGGCGTAAATATCATTCAAGATGGCGGTTGGCGAGCCTACTATCTAAGTATAGGTATGTAGTCTAAATTTTGTCTGGAGGCTCGAGGCTGGGCTTTTAGCTACTTGCTCCTGCGGAAAGCTCTGGCTGCAATCATCATCGACTAATATGATCAGCCTCACAAAAGAGCATTTTCCTCACAGCGGCTAGCTCATCCGATGATGGAGGAATGCATGCCTCGCTGGCCCGCTTCACTAGTCCCCAACTGGCCTTCATCTCCGGGCGTCGTTGTCAGCTGGAACAGGGTTGAGGGTCTCTCAGCCTTACTCAAGGAGAATATTGATACCCACCTGGGATTTCTCTTTATCCACTTGTCAGCTTCGGCTCCACGGCCACAGATCTTACTTCTCGAGGTACAGTGGTTTCTAGCAAGTACATAGGGCGAGCTTGACGCCCAACCAAGAGCCATTCAGCGGAAAAAGTGTTCGTGATGGATGGGTTTGGTTTGATGCATGGACTACTCGTATCATGAGACACGCACCACGCGTCTTACACCTACTTCGATGAAGGATGCGAGCTAAATGGGTCGCAAATACGACCCAGCCTTACATCGTATATTATCATTAGTATCATGCAACATGGGGGCGCTTGTGGGCCAAAGGAATGGCCATAAGCCAACCCGCCAGCTTCAGCCTTTGACGCGTCTGACTGTGTTGATTGGTGCTCGCGTCAACAGCCTGGTCACATACTCAATCATGAAATACCCCACATCGACTTTTCCTTGAAAATATTGTTTTGCCTGCTCTTTCGATGATCTAGTGGGAATAAAATCCCTTGGCTTCAACGGCTGCCAAGCATTCCTGTCGATACTGCCTCGTCACGATGAGGGTCGCACATGAACATACCGCCTTGGTATGGGCCTTATCTCTCCTCGTGAGGCAGGCCACAGCGACTTACTGGATTAATCAACTTGATAACTACTCATCACTGCCTGTCTGCGCCGAAGGTCCCATCAGTACCATCGTGAGGGGCATGGTAAAAGGATGCGGTGATGGGGGACGCGCCACTTCGTACAGCTGCTTTTGCACACAGAGCTCGTCAGCATTCAAGGATCTGATCGCCTCATCTGTTGAAAAAGAATGTAGCGGAACTGGATCGGAAGTCGTCAGTGCGACGGTACTCTTTGAGGAGTACTGCTCCCTAGGTATCAAGCAGACTTCAGCGACTACAACAGGCTCGGATGCCACTACATCAAGTCTGCTTCCCCCTTTCTCTCTTCATCTGGCTAACAGAACATTAACAAGTTGCTCTAGCCAGCGATGGTAATTCATCCAAGACCAACACCGTGGCAACATCTACATCAGCTTCACAGACAGAGAGTAATTCTTCTGCATCCACAACTGCATCCGCATCCGTAACCACAAATACTTCAACTATCAACAGTGCCCCATCGACTACTGCTTCCTCTATCACCGAGTCGACTTCAACCGCCGAAACGAGCGACGCGGGCGCTTCTTCAAGCTCTAGTGCCAGCATCGCAACTGGAGCGAAAGTTGCCATCGGCATCTGCATCCCCCTAGCTGTAATCGCTATTGCAGCGGCTATTTTCATGTTCTTCCGAAGGCGCCGCGAGACCAAGCCGAACGACCCATACGGAGGAGTTAGACTGGAAAGCCGAGAGGAGGTTCAAGTACACCCCAAATCAGCTTCGGAGCTTGATGGCTCCTCCTACCCGCCTTATGAGTTCCCTCTGCATTCAACCTCAACCCCTCGATTTCCCCCACCGCAGGAGCCGAAAACAGTCTACGAGAAGGATGGAACATCTACCAAGTTTGAGCTTGAATAAATTTGTAAGAGAATTCGGAGGCACGCCCTGTAATATTGAAAAATGAATCTCTTGCGAGGATATGGCTCTGTTGGATATTTGATGTTGATATTCCCCCCACCCACTGGCATTCCGTGGAGCGAGAACTTATTGTTTACTCAATAAGAATATAACGACGGTATTATAATTCCAGATGTAAGAATACAAATACACTATTTATAATATGAACCCGGGACAAGCTTTGCCTAATAATACATGCATTTCTCCAGCGTTTCAACCAATCTGTACACTGGCAAGAAGTCAATGCCGGTGCCGATATATTTGTGAATGAATCCCTATATCACACCTCTTCAAGAATTATATAATTGAATGTCAGACCAGAAATTGTCAAAGAGAACACCATGGGCATTCTCTATCCACAAATACTTCGAAATCCGAAACTTGACATCTTGTTGGCTGATCCCGGATGACTGAACAAGCTGAGTAAAAATTTGGAGAAGGGTTTGTTTAATCGAAATTACCTCCCTTGACATATTTCCAGGCGGCAGATTCACAATTGCGAAGAAAATCCCCCAAAGAAGGAAGCCGGGTGGCACAATAGATCCCAAGGGCGACCCCAAGGTATTCGACAACTTGCTGCAAGTAGTGCTCTCTGTGCCATACTGATAAAACTGGAGATCGCCCGTGATAGTCGCCTCTTCAGACACGACAATCAACGCTTGGTAAAGTTTATGGGCTATTCTCTGGCCAACGAACGTCGACTGTGGACGTTCTCTGAGAACTGTCAAGGTGTAGATGACTAGAGTGATCCTCAAAACCTCGAACATCGCCATTCTCATGGACCCAAGGTGCATTGGCGGTGAATCAGCGGCCGAAACCAGCCTGTATTGCGTATTTGTCAAAATGAGTCGCACTTGAGCAATTCCAAAAGGCGAACGGAATAGCTCGTGGGAGGCGGCGGCAGAGATATTCTCATGACTTGGAAGATGGCCCTGTCTTGGCCAGAATCCCTCAACCCCTTCTAGCTGCCTGATGCATGTTGAAAGAACAGGTTCAAAGCTCAGGAGCTTGCATATTTCATTCAAACCTTCGCTTCGTATATTGCTAGTTGAGTATTTTGTGGATATGATATCGTTCGGGCCATGAAAGAATGGTGGCTCTCCGGCATCTAATGATCCGTTCAGATCGGCCCTATGTCTGTCGATTTAGCTTGCTAATTCCCGCAATAACGGATAGAAAACGGACCTGTAAATCTTGTGTAGAACGAGTGGTTCTGAATCCATTGTCTCAAGACCACCATAGAGCTCTACTAACACTTTGAGGCCTTTCATATGTGTTCTCCAGTGCTCGTGCCGCCCAGATCCTTTCTAAAGATCTTGTTAGCTTCTTAAACAGCACAACTCAACAAGAACACACTCAACTCAAGCAACGCCATTCCAGCAATTACTGCCAGAGTCTGCTTAGATATTGCTGGTGTCGGCATAGAAAGCCGCCGATTCATGATAGATACAACCTCTGAAAGGTGTTTTGACCATCGGGGTCTCACTTGTTCAGACGTATACCCATTCACATACGCATCGGCGCAAGCAATGAATGAATGCAGAAGAGCAGCATCTTGGAAAGCCAATGGAAGCCAATAATTTTCGATTGGGTTCCAGCCACCCACCTCTTCTAAAGTATAGATACTCCTCCATATTCTGGACGAGACTGCATGAACTACAGCATTAGCATCTCCAGATATTATAGAGCATAGAGTCGACTTACAGAGAGACAAAAGATCATGCATGTATGGTTCTAGGGTGATGCACGAAGTATTAAACGGATCGACTCCTGGAATCTGTGATAGGCCTCCTCGGAGCGCCATCTCCAGTGGTGCGTAAGACTCTTCGCTGGCGATCAGCTTCTTGATAGGAGACCTATAGTGTCCACCTCGCCCAGTATTATGACGTGGTGTCATCCTCCTTGCATGGCTACGGATCGTGGATTGTGAAGCAGAGTCCATGTACTTCGTCTCACCAGACACGCTGACAAATTGAAATGCTGATTTCTTCGGTTTGGCTAATGATGGGTCAGTCGAGTGTACGATGAGTTACACTAGGCCGTAGCTTACCAGCCCTCGGACGACCTCTCTTCCATGGCCCGGGTACCTTCACAGGCCCTTGCAGATAGCTGTATTTGCCTTCGGTGCTAAAGTCATCATGATCCGTTGTACGCGGAAGTGAGAAAACAATCTCCGTTGGCGCGAAATCCATGCTATCTAAGATGGTTTCCGAAACGGGCATTTGTATGCCCTGAATTCGAATGGACTTGGACATGGAATTAAGGGCCTCTTCCTGTTGCCAATCGCATTTATTGAGAGATAAATAGATGTTACACAAGGCAGCCAGAGACGTCAGCGGATTACAAAGCAGGCAATATCTTGCAAGGCCAAGCCTAAATTGGAATGTGACTGGGATGAAATTCGACCAGAAAAGGTTAAGTCTTGTCCATGGAGATCCAGTAATCCGGAGTTAACAATTTAGAATGGTACACATCTTGGGGCAAAGCACCATTACCAAGTTTGGTATGTGTCAGGGATGAATTCGATCTTAAATGGCATGATTAAGTGGTCTATTACATGCTATCAAATTGCCCTACGATAGTTAATAACCCAAAGAAATATGTGTATAAAAAGGATGAAAGAAGAACAAATACCAAAAGGTCTTACAAACCATCCATACTTGATTCATTCCCATCGGTTAAGATTCAATAATTCAACATGAGCCCATACAGCTACGAGACAACTGCCGAGGAGGTGGCCAATGACCTCAAACCCCAGATTGCAGGAAAGACCATTCTTGTGACTGGTGTTAGTCCCAAGGGACTTGGGGCGGCCTTCGCGGAGATAATCGCACAATATGGTCCAGAATGTATCATCTTGGCTACACGCGATCTCTCAAAGGCCGAAGAGACAGCACTGGCTATCAAGGCGACCGGCCCTTCAGTTAGAACCCATAGCGTGGAGCTCGACCTTGCTTCTCTGGACCAAGTCAGAAAAGCCGCAACGAAAATTCAGTCCTTCGGCGAAAAGATCGATGTCATCGTCAACAACGCAGCTATTATGGCCTCCCCCTACTTCAAGACGGTTGACGGCATCGAGGGGCAGTTTGCAGTCAACTATCTCGGCCACTTTTTGCTCACCAATCTTTTGCTTCCAGACATGTTGGCCAGAAACGTGCCCATCCGAATTGTGAACGTCTCTAGCAATGGTTGCCGGTATGGCCCAGTACGGTTTGGGGACTTGGACTTTAGTGTAAGTGAAGTTTGGCTCGACATCTCGAAATGAATGACTAACCAAGAGCAATATGGTAGGATGGGAAACACTACAACCGATGGATTTCTTACGGCCAGTCCAAGTCTGCTAGCATGCTTTACACCAAAGCACTGGCCGAAAAGCTTGGCCAGCGAAATGTGCATGCTTTCAGTCTGCATCCAGGTGTAATTATGACCAACTTGGGCCGAAGTGTGGCCATGGAGGAGTTTGCAGAGCTAGGTGAGAAAATTCCCCAGAGCAATATCGAACGTAAGACTGGAAAGAACGCAAATGAACTGATTCTCTCCTCGAAATCCAATAGGCGAGCTCGACAAGGTCCAAGGCCATGCCCATTATTGGAACCAGTCTTTTGGTTTCAAATCGCCATCCCAAGGCGTGGCCACGCATGTTTTTGCGGCATTCTCTCCCGAGATTGAAAAGTCTAATGGTGCTTATCTGACAAATTGCAAGGTGAAGGATGTAAAGCATGTATACTGCTGGACTAGGGACTCGGTCGACGCCGAACGTCTGTGGGAACTAAGTGAAAAGCTTGTTGGACAAGAGTTTACCTTCTAGGAAGCTCTTGGAGATATCTTTAGGCTGTTACCATAGTCTTGCACTTCACTCGTTAGGATGGGACAACTCTGAATTGTGAGGAAGATCAAGCAACACATCCGTTAGTAAACTAGTTTACGGTAGTTGAAATAGATAGTCACTTGCTTGTACGCACCGAGAGAAGATTTCAAGTTTTCAATAAATAAGTCATAAATTTAAACATGTCGAGGGGTTTTCTTTTCTTCTCTTCCTTTGGAAGCTGTTACTTGATTCCTGATCTAGGACATATGTGATCTAGGTTAGTACGAGACTCGTTAGACTAGAGCGAAGATTGCCAGACTCTACTGGCTTTGGCTACTTCTCAGATTGAGGTGAAGTTGACGGTTCACACTGGACATTAAGATCTAAGATCTTACACCATGTATTTTAAATTTAGAAATTAAGATAGTGTTTAGGACATTCCCTCTCTAGGCACTCGTTTAAACGTTGTGCCTGAGCGAATAGATGCCACGCTCGATCGAGCTCACGACAATGTGGCCACTCTGGAAGTAAGGATATACAGACCAAGCGCCATTGAATGTAGCCTCACCGCCAACCGCATCATCCTCTGGCCTGACATCAAAGAAACCGGCCTCTTTGAACTGGGCTCCACTGTCGTCATCATTAATGGAAGTGACGTTGACAATGCGGAGGCCAGAACCATAGTTAGCCTGATATGAGAGACCGTCAATGATATATTGGTTGTGGTCAATGGATCGTTGAGGGCTCTTATAGACACCGCGGAACACAGGATACTCGAGGTCCTGAACATCCACGATATAAGTAGTGGTATGTTGGTCTTGGGCAGGGCCATTCTGTTCCTGCTCGTCAAGCTCATCGTCGAGGAGAACATACTTGTGATCTGGAGTCAGCCAGCCTTGGTGAGTATAGGTGGCGCCATTGTAAGTGGTACGAGAGAGTTGACGAGGCATGGTGCGGCGGTCAATATTGACGATTGTGAACGCGTCCTCGTTGAAGTTGAAGCATATCTCTTTGCCCTGGTAGGCAGTCTGAGGGCCACGGTAGATAACACACTGTGCATCATGCACGTAACCGTCCTCCGCGACGCAGCCGGCATCCTGAGGACGTTCTGGGTTGGAAACGTCAATCATCCACAGACCTGCACGGCATTTCAGCCTGTGCTCAGTGCCAACTGCAATGATGAGATTGGTCTCCTCGTTGGCAACGATGTTATGGCTGGAGCCAAATCCAGAGAAGCGTGCCGTTAGATCCCGGCTTGGGCTGTAGGTCGGTGGGTTCTTTGGGTCTGCGCTTCTTAACTTTGTTAAATCGAAGATCTGAAGTCCATGATCAGGAGCTTCGGAACCGATGTAGGCATAGTTGCCAATGACCTTGATATCTCGCCAGGAAGAGGCAACGGTTTGCGTAGGCAATCGGCCTACATATCTAAGGCTACCATCTTGAAGGACCTCGACGAATGCAGTGCCGTCTGTTTGTCCAAGCAACGCATATTCACGGCCGCTGCTTGGGTCGGTCCAGCCTTGTTTATTTTGTCAGCTGATGAATCCATGTTGTATTAGGGCAAATAAAACATACCCCAAATATCATTGCCCTCCCTCGTGCTGCTACCGACATCTTGGTGACGTAGAAATCCAAGTAGATCAACGTTGTTACAAGAATACTCGCCAGCTTTTCCATCGACACAAGGTGTGGCCGACGTAGCCTCATAACGATCAACGTCAAACAATCCGTTGGCTACGTCTCTCTCGCGTTGCTCAACCTTGCGTTGTTTCAGAGTAGCCATCGACACAGCTTTGGGTGCACTTGAAGCCTTCAATGTGTCTGCATTGAACAGCTGTGCGACGGCAGAGCCCGCCAGAGTCGCAACAGCTAGAGAGGAAAGGGAAGCCTTCATTTTGGTGGCTCGGATATACCGGAGTTGAATGAATAAGAGACAGAACCAACAAAACCAGGAGATAATGAGAGAAGGTAACAACGGCTGATCTATGAATTCTTGCTGTAAGTGGTGGATTATTTTATACTCCCGAAAACTTTCGCCAAGTAGCCGTCGCTATCTTGATATCTTCCTAATGATATTGGACTTTGTAGATCTCTAGATCAGTAAATGAACTTCCTGCCCCATAGTCGTTTAGATCGATCTTGGCGCAGAGGCATATCCCTTCACGACTTTCATATTAGTTGCTCGGATACGAGATTAGACTGGGCAAACTCTCGGCATGCTTGGCCATGCTGTTCAAGTTGCTCACTGATCTGCGATCATCCTTCCAGGGCAGGAAGGTATATCAACGCTAGGGAAAGATCATCGCACCAGAACTTTGGAATGGCCTCTCTTTGGAAGGTGAGAATGGCAAGTTGGGCCTGTTGCCACAATTTCCCCTCATGATTTAATCCATCGAGTTAGTTAGTCAGTGCATTGGGCATGCTATTCACTCCAAACTGCTTTATCTTCAACCTCGCCAAGAGACGATGAACAAGGAGCGCGATGAAGCGTGGGGAAACAGGCAGCAAGCTTATCCTTTAGCTCTTACAACGTGGCGACTTAATATCTGGTCAGCATATTTCCAAAGTCCCCAGTGGTCCGTTTAGGCAAAGAACGTCTAGGATCGATGGAAATGGCCAAGCCGTTATTGAGTGAAAATTCTTGAATGTCTGTTTGAGACTGTTGCTAGGAAGAAAACAACTCGCCCCTGACTTGCCAGCTTGACTTGCCAGCTTTTTAAATCTCTCTGCCAAAAGTTCCATTGGACAAGATTGCCAGTTATTCTGATGTACTAATAATTTGACATACGGATGAGAGTTTGAAAAAAAGTTCATAACAACAATGATAGATGCCAGACCCAACATCTTAATAAACCGAGTAATTTAATATACATAAGCCCTTTGTTTTTTCAAGTTCCATCTGCTAGCTGATATCACTCGCTTCAGACCACATCTTCGACAGATGGATGAATCTGCGATTTGACAACCTGTCTGGAACCCCGGTAATCTGCCAACTGGAATGTCATGTTGCACAGTGTCTACTCCTCCTGACCTAAACGACGTAGAAAGAAAGGAAATCATCTCTGCTATATGAAATAACTTTTACCCAACAAACTCCCCTCGCGAAGATCCGGCTGAAGAGGGTGGCGGGGAATGAACTTCCTCTTCATCTTTTCCGAGTTCTGATGGAACACTTGCGCTCCTTTGAACCTGTATGATGGTAGATGCAGGAGTGCTTTGAACCGCCTGAACCTCGGGAGCCTCATCACCTCTGTCGGTGTACAGCCGATTAATGTCCCGAAGCCCGTTTCGCAATATCTCCAGCTTCTCGGTCAGTCTCAACCGTTCATCTATGCTCTCCTCGCTTTCGCCAACAAGGCGCAGAAGCTCGTCGTCTTCAAGTTCGACCGCCTTGATTGGTGTCAAAATGCCCGGCAGTTTGCTCATGAGACAACGCTCAACAGCCATGACACTGATGTCATCAATGAATCTGTCTCTCGCAAGCTGTAATGGTGGAGTTAGTATAATATTCACAACAGAAGGACCCCTTTTGACGCAACGTACCTGATAATAAGCTTGCATGTAGTCAACAGCCATTGAGCTACCAAAGCGAATCATGTCCAGCTCAGTTTCGTCCAGAAACAGCTCTACCATCTGGGGCGCATCAATGATGAGTTTCTCCCCCGGTTCATCAGCCGATTTGAACCCAAACTTTTCCTGGATTCTCTTTTCCAGCTGTCGCTTCTTCCGGGCCCACTGAACCTTCTGAACATTTTCGCTGAGCTGCGGGTTGTAGGTGATGGAATGCAAAGCAAACTGGGCTTGAAGCAACTCTCTCACTTTATCGTTCATGCTGACCTTCAGTTGGTCAATCTCGGAGTTCAGTAAGATAAGTATTTCCCGTATAACCTCATTGGCTGCAATATGCTCGACTATTGACCGTGTAGTTCGATACACAGCATCAACAATGTCTTCTGTCAGACTGGAAACGATTCCCTTCCAGGGCTGACATTGCTCCGCAAACAGATCGCTCACGATAGCAGGATTGAAGAGTCCCGGAAGCTCAGACCCTCTGCTTTTCATCATTCGCATCCTGACGTCGTCGACGTACTGAGACCGTGTGATTTGCCTGTCGTCATAGCATGCTTCATTATCATCGACGATGAGCTGGCTTTCGCCAGTCAACCGCATATCTTGAGCGAACAGTTCCAGCCGGTTCTGCACGACAGATCGAAGTCTCTTTCGTTGCTCATTCAGGTCATTCTTGCTACCGAAAAAGGTGTCGGCGTATGTTCCGCTGACGGCAGAGGTCATCAGGGAGGTGAACTGATGGCTCAGCTGAGACAGGTACTTCAATTGCTCTCGGGAAGATTTCCGACCGGCCCCGAGTCTGGACAGCTTCACGTTGCAGTCATCAATGCCGTGGTCGACATCCTTGATCAAGCCTGGCAATTGCTGCAAGATCTGGTCCTTGAGCACTGAACTGAGTCGGGATTTCAGGCTCTTGACCCCGTAGTGTTTGGGATCAATGGAAGTCCATATTCCTGTGCTGAAGAACTCATCCTCGGAAATATCACGCTGCAATGAAGAGTAATCTCTTTCTTCATAATTGCGGTTCTTTAGCACATGCCATCCCAAATTCAACTCCACGTCCTTGTTGAGGGCAAGATTTACCCAAGAACGTTGACTCTCGGATCCATTGTCCAGAGTGTCTGGCTTGGTGATGAGACCGATAGTGCGAACGCCTTGAGGATCGGCACTCCTTGCCAGCGCGGTAACTTCTTGCAGAACATATTCGGTTTTGGCAGAGACCACAGCTAAGATGATGCTTCGCGGCCGACTCATGTACCTAGTGACCAGCGCCTTCACTAACGCGACATTGTCCTCAGATTGCTCCTTGTTGCCTGACCGAAACAGACCAGGCAGGTCAACCATGGTGAGATGCGGCTGCGTCGGCCCACAGAGTTCGATGCGAAGGATATCGCTGCTGAAGACCTTGGTCCCTTGAAGGCCCATTCTCGCCTTGGCCTCCTCGATGACGACCCTCAGTCCGTCAACTTCGATATCAGCCTCAGGCTGCCAGCTAGATAGATGATCCCTATCTTCTGGATGGCGATCTGGCCCAGGCGAGATGGATATCTTCACACTGGTGTCGGTGTCACGGCGCAGGATGAGCTCCGTGGCAAACCGAGTACAGAGTCGGTCCTTGGTCGGGAATGACATGCCCGAGATGGCTTCAAGGACAGAGCTCTTCCCAGCGGACTGGTCGCCGCAGACTATGATCTCAGGAAGATCCACATAGCGATTAATGCCTTGAGACCGGAGCTGGTCGATGATATCGAGCAAGTCGCGATGCTCCTTGGATTGGAGGTCTGATGGAGACATTGTGCGAAATCGCCGTATAACGGTCTTTGGGGAAAATTCCACCTCTGGCCCTTGGTTTAGGAAGAAAGCCTAGTCGTAAAATATTTTGAATTGCTCGCAGCAGTATGCAGATTATACAGTTATACAATATCTTGTGCTTTTAGGTGAGGTTGCATTGCCGACGCCATTTTGTCGCCCAACATTCCCGTGGCAGCCCAACAAGAAGCCCAGGCAAAAGACTGGGCAAAAAGACCGAAGCCCAAATCAGCACAACTTCTTTTAAATGCGACACGTGGCGAGCTTAACGCCGAAGGATGTGGATCTATTGCATATTATTGAATGGCCCAGAGAGACCACACGAAAGCGTTGGGGTGGAATATATATGCAGCAAGGGGTCATAGGCCAGCTGGCACCTCCAATTCGAGTTCGCGTTTTCTCATGACCATGACGTAGAGTCACTCTATTCCCTTTAGGTAGAATGTTCTAGTATTGCATAAGCTGGAACCCAATAATCTGTGCGTAGAATTGCACATCATGAGGGCCCAAGCCAGTGTCCGCCGGTTGGTGTAAGATCGATGCAAAAGATGCCATGCCTGATGTTACCCACTTGATCTTCATTTCTTCTCTTGCAGCTTACCACCATGAGTACATGATGGTAAATCATTTTGATCTATTTTATGCTTACGGGACTCTTCACTGATATAAAAAAAAAACAATGTAGGTAACGCGATCTATTCATCTGAAATATTCATTTAAGTTCAGGTTCCTATACCGAAGGACCTCCTCCCCTGGTCAATAATCATGTTGGCTAGAAGAGCCGACACCAGGGTCATCTTTTCATACAAGGGTCGCATATGTATTCTATATGTCGTCTTCATTGTGTTGAGATGTCGGCTCTGGCATCTTCCGTCGTTTCTAACTTTCTTCTCGAACTCTCCTTCGTATTCTGCATGTAATCCTCAAACCCTTGCCAGTCTTCCGGGTATAAGAAACCATTGATCCAATAATTACCGTCTAAATCTTTGCCGGTGGTTGCAAAGACATCCCTCATGAACGAATCCCTGCTCAAGGACTGACAATGCATGTACACTGGTTTTCCACCTGCAGAATGGGGTGATCGCTTAATGATAGCGGGGCTGAAGTCAACAGCTTCGAACATCTTGAAAGCCGTCCAGTTGGAAAATGCGACCAAGTGGGAGTCTGAAGCGCCATAAAGCGACTGCATTTTGTTCGGCCCAAGCTTTCTAAAGTGCCGCAGTTGAGAACGCATTTGCTCTTCTGTGGCCTGTTGTTGTATGGACAAACGCACCACACGAGCCACCTCCCCCAGTGATCCCTTGTTCAGGATGTTGGCTTCGACAAGAGTGTACAAAGCGACGGCCATATTTTGAACGTACAGTCCTCCAGGTGCCAGGGCAGATTTGAGACGACCTGACACATCCAGGGGGTTGACCAAGATCGCAGGTCTTGTTCCTCCACGTGCTTGAGAAACGAATCTTGCCAGCCAAGCAGTCAAGACGTCACCTTCGCTAAAGAAAGCATCAGTATCGGTTCTTTGAATTTTTAAGAGCTCCTTCAGCGTAGCTTGTCGAAGATCAGAGACAAATTCTCGAGGAAGGCATATAGTGCGTGCCTCAACCTTCGGCCGCCAGAAGACCGTCCACATGAGCCGAAATGCGAATTTGGCAAACCCCCAGCCTCTCAATTCGACATTATCGAGAACATACGGTGCAGTACAGTCTTTCGAAGTTCCTATTCCGTCGAGTACATCCTTCCCGGCACCCAACAACTCTGGGATATTTCCTTCATCCTTCAGCGCCTCGGACCAGGCCGATAGAATATTCTTCAGTCCCAGAGCGCCAGACACCGCATGTGGCCAGATGAAAACAACAATAGTGGCGTCAGTGAATACGGTGACATGGACTCGAAAAACTGGGTGATCACTTTGGAGGTAGTCTTGAACGGTCTTTGGCCCTTTCGACAATGCACTGAATTCTTCGAAGACCTCCTGCCCAGGGTGTAAAGAAGGGGAATCGGTTGCTCTAGGAAACTGCCTAGCAATAGAGTGCTCGTCGATGCTAATGTCAATTTTCTCCGCGGAGAATTGGACTGCTGGCCGTTCTTTGGTGAATTCTTTTGGTACATGGAGTCCGAGATTGCCGTCGGACTAGGAGTAGCTGCTAGTTAGCTCAAGTGAACGGAAAGATGAGGCTGTTCGCATGTGTTGCACCTTTTTACGAAGCCGCCCACCGAGCTTCCTCCAATCCCCGGTCTGGATCAACTTTTTGAGTCCATCATGCAACTTCTCTGGGTCCAGGACATCGTTGAATTTGAAGGTTTGGCTTAGAACAAGAACTCGTCCGGCCTGCAGGTTGTCAAGGAAGTACAATGGGAAAATCTCATCCGTGCCCACGGCCGGATTCTCGCCCTGACCAAGCAGGTAGTTGTAAGCATTCCTCAGAGTTTCCATGTCGACTGTATGTTGTCTGATGAAGACTTTCCCACAACTCTCTTAGGGGAAAGGACGATGTAGGACTCATAAGTGCAAGAGATATGCGGGGTCTCAGAAAGCCAGACAAGCCATCTCGAGTCTGTCCCTTTTTGTTCTAGTCTCCGACCCCAGTCAGCTCCAAAAGTGGTGATCCGTAGATTCAAGCCACAGCTCCTGGGGTCAGATATATGAATACAATGTATGGCCGTAATCTTGCATGGGGAATTGGTCCACTGGATGTGTTAGAATAGATCCTGCAGAAACTAATCAAGCAAAGGTGCAAGCCAAGATCCCATAAACGAACGACAAAAGCAGGGGACCAATTCTCCATCCCCAGCCCCACAGACTCCCAGCCTCCGGGCCTCCCGCAAGGAAAAAAGCCCGCATGAGCAACCTCACAAGCACCGACACCATGAGAAGATCACTGCCCACTGAGGTGGACTTCCTCGTTCTTGGGGCTGGCTGGACGTCTGATTTCCTCCTACCATTGCTGGAGAAGGAAAAGATTGCGCATGCCGCCACGACTCGAGACGGCAGAAATGGCACAATCGCCTTCACATTTGACCCCGAATCGGAGGATGAAGCACCCTTCAGGCAGCTGCCAGCGAGCAAAACCGTGTTGATTACTTTCCCACTCAAAGGCAAGGGGCCTTCAGCACGGCTAACCGATCTCTACGCCAAGACCCATGGCGGCCTAAAGCCCAACTTCATCCAACTCGGCGTCACAAGCATATGGACTGGGAAGGGCTGGCAGGATCATACATCGCCTTACGATAAGACGCAGCCGCGCGCCATTGCCGAAGACGAGCTGATGGCTGTCGCTGGGGGAGTCGCACTCGATCTCTCCGGTTTGTTCGGCGGCGCCCGGCAGCCACGCCACTGGGTAGATCGTGTGATCAAGTCCAAGGCCGATCTGCGTGCCAAGGGCGCACTGCATATCGTCCATGGCGAGGATGTAGCGCGAGCAATCGTTGCCCTCCATCGCAATTTCACCCCAGGCCAGCGTTGGTTACTGACGAACCTGCACGTCTATGACTGGTGGACTCTCATCCACGGCTGGGCGCTTGAAGCACTGCGGGCAGCCGAGGCTGGGGAGAATTTAGAAGGTGATAATTCAACGCTTGGTCGTCATGAAGAACTGCTTCGATGGGTCGGCGAGCTTATGGAGGAGCAAGGCGTGAAGGCATTGCCACGCGACAGTACTAGATTTGAAAGAGCCCTTGACGGCCGCGCCTTTTGGGCCAAGATGGGAATAATGCCTCTATATACGCAGGTTTAAATTGGTACAAATATGTCTCTTCGGGTTGAACTTGAAGCAGAGCAGTGTGCCTTGGGAGGGAGGTTTCATACCTACATGTAGTCTTCCTTAGATCCCTTTTAACAAGGCATAAGACAAATAAGGGGCATTATTGATAATACTCGCTTACTCTCCCTCGCCGATATCAATCTCATACTCTTCGGCAGATCGTGCCATATCCGAGACTACCCGTTTAGCATTCCCCATTCACTTTTCTCGAAACTCCGAGAAAGCACTCTCGGAGGTCCGACTCCGAAAATGGCACTAATCGCAGTTCCGAAAATGAGCGACTTTCTTCCCAAGAGGCCAGTCATAACAATTCAAGCTCAAGAAAGATGAAAACAAGATCCAGGGCCACAGGCTGCTGGACCTGCCGAATTCGACATGTGAAATGTGGCTCAGAAACTCCAAACTGCACAGAATGTACCAGTCGATATACCAAATGCCACGGCTACGGACCGCAGCCGATATGGATGGACGGTGGTCACTTGGAGGCCGCAGAACGATCTCGTATCCGAGCTGCCATTAAGGAAAATTTTCGTCGCATCCGAAAGCAACAGAACCAAGCTCGTCGACAACTTCCAGTAGCACCCTCCCCCCACCAGATATTGGGGGGAACAAGCAGGGCAGACGATTGTCTAATCCAGTCGGATCCTCAAGCAAGACTGGCACCTCCAACTAAATCTTTGCCTGCATCCCCTATAGCATCGCCTAATTGTTCCATCTCTATCAACTACAACGAGAATCATACGCACGCAATAAGCCCAGCGCCAAGATCAATCACACAATCCCCTGCCGGTCGCAGCGACGGAGCATTGTCTCGTCACCCTACCATCCAGACAAATGTTGATATTTTGAGTATTGATGGATACGAAGCCGGGCTGCTAATGCACTATTTCGACCATGTATTCCCGTGGCAATTCCCATATCACAACTCACATTCACGCACCGGCAACCGAGGATGGCTCCTCCAGCTGCTGACCAAACGTGGTCCTTTATACCATGCCGCCATTGGTTTATCGTCTTTGCATCAGAGCGCCACGGGAGGTATAGACGAGAGCTACCTTCAGGATCAAAAAGTCTTTGATCATCACTCAACTGCATTGCAGGAACTGTGCGAATTCTTGCGCTCCGAGAAAGCCACGGAGTTTCATCAGGACGAGCAACTTCTCACAGAGTTCCTTGCTTGTAGCATCATGCTTTTGAGCTTCGAGGTATTGAGGGGAGGAGTATCGAATTGGCAACCTCATCTCAACGCCGTGCTCAGCACGATCAAGTCCATGTCCCCAGCATCCTTCATCGCTGTAGACAGCAACAAGCCCGACAGACTTTGCAGCCCGCCGAAGAGTGTTACCCAACTAACAAACAATGGGTCCAGTGGAGGACTCGAGTTCTTATTTGTGAATGCTTTGTGGTTCGATATTTTTGCGTGTGTGTCAACGGGTGGTACGCCCGTTCTGCCATACAGGTCTTGGCTTGCCATTGAACAGCTCAAAATGCAGGACGTAATGGGCTGTCACAACTGGGCATTGGCTTTGATTGGCGATATCACACATCTGCGAGAGTGGAAACATGATATGGATAAGAAGGGACTTTTAAGTGTTCGTGAGCTTGTCAGTAAAGGGCAAGCTATCGAATCCGAACTGGAGGAACAGATCAATATTTTATATTCAAGGAAAGACGAGGTATGGTGTCTTCACGCTCTCGCTAATTTTTTGCTGCTAACTTTATATTCATTCCAGACTTGTTCGAGGTATCATACAACTTGGATCACCCACATCTTTGCTCTGGCCGCATTGGTCCAAGTTCACACCGTTGTCTCAGGCCCTCTTCCATCTCTTCCAGAAATCCAGAGTACAGTACAAAGAGCGATAGATCTTCTTACTGCGAAGCCCGAAACCTGTAGCCTGCAAGGCATCGTATGGCCGTTGTGCGTCATTGGCTGCATGGCTGAGCCACGGCTGCAGTATTTCTTCGAGAACCTGGTATCCGGGATGGCTACCGAATACAGAAAACTTGGAAACTCGTCGACCGTTCTGCAAATCTTGAAGGGGTGTTGGGATCTACAAAAACAAGGGCGCAAGGATTGTACAATCGCCATGTCCGAGTTGAATATTCATGCTCTACTGGTGTAACGTCGGAGCCAACCACCATCCAGGAAGAAATACATAATCTCTCAATCCTTCCCTCAAAAAGCTTTCTCAATATACGCATCGAGCCTGTTCAATCCTTCCTTCAAAACATCAGTGTGGCAGACATAGCCAAACCTCATATACCCCGGGAAATCCTCCCCTTCACCAAAACAAGTACACCCAGGCATGATCAAAACCCCGGTGTTGTCGAGGACCTCAAGGCAAAATTCTGAGTCCTTCACCAGCTTTCCATCCTTTCTGAACTGTATCATGGCAGTAGTGCCAGCGGTTGGCTTGACCCATGAGAGCACGGAATAATGCTTATTCACAAATGCCTCAAGAAGTGCAATGTTGGTCCTTGCCAGCTCAATGTTTCGCTGAAGGAGATTGACTCGCACTCCATCAGACAACGCATACCCCGCGACGAAGTCGTCAAATTGTGAAACACTAATGGTGGTGTAGTTTCGGCAGCTATTGACAGCTTCCAGAATGGAGGAATCCCGAGTCGCAATCCAACCTACCCGAATCCCAGCGAGGGAAAAGGCCTTGGACATGGAGGAAGTGGAGACAGTCTTGTCGTAACCAAGGTCAATTATTGAAGGAGGAATCTCCTCGCCGGCTGGGAGGCTGTGAAAGAGGGGCCGATACACCTCGTCTGCCATGATGATGATATCCCTCTCTTTGGCGAAAGCCACGATGGCTGACAAGACTTCCTTGTTTATCGTGGCGCCCGTGGGATTGTTTGGGTTGTTGAGAATTATCAACTATACAGGGAGTTTAGTCTGACAATGAGATACATAGGGGACATCAAATCTGATATCGATAGTTCCGTACCTTGGTGTTGCTGCGGACCAAAGCCTCCAGCTCTGAAACATCAGGGACGAAGCGATTCTCCTCCTTGAGCTTCCAGAGCGAAACTTCAGCTCCCAGACTTTTAGGAACCTCATAGAGTTGCTGGTAAGTAGGATATTCGCAGATGACATGGTCTCCAGGTCCTATGAGGCTGAAAAGCAGAAGGAAATTGGCTCCAATGGCTCCCTGAGTCAAGACTACCTGATCGAGCTTGACATCTCTATACAGGTTTGCAATTCGCTGTCTGGTGTTATCGGTACCAGGGATAGCCCCGTAGGTGAGACGTCGGCTGGTGATATCTGGTAGCTTGACTGATTCGTCCGTTGAAAGAGCGGCCAATTCGGAGATGGAGACAGACTCGCAGCAGGTTTCCGCGACATTCAGCACGCCTGGTGTCGTTTCCAGGCGGTCCATCCACTCCTCGACTTCAAACGGCTTGATGAGAACCATGATAACTATCTGTGCTGTTATAAATACGCAAATACGCAATTGGCGAATTGGTGATGATGATGAAGTCAAGTGCTCTTTGTTCAACTTGACGGAAGGTTCGACTCAGTAGGCGCTTGATCGGTTGGATCCACCTGATCAAGCGATAAGCCGATTATCGATAAACTGATAAAGATATTCACAGTTGTATCCAAATATGAATAAAGCAAATGTTCATCAAAACGTAGAATGCAGGTTATAAGTACTTAAAACGCAAGATGGGGAGTGTGACTTTATCTGGAACTGTCCATCAAATCGACTAATTTAGTGGGGCAGAAGCCGCCCTAGGGTTGACATCTTGACATGATCTCCCCAAGATGGAAGCTCTCAGCGAGCTTCCATGAGAGATAGCGTCGGAACGAGGACAATGGGGGGACCATGTGATCCGAGATCTACTACAGCTGGCACAGCCGCACCAAACAGCCACAAACTATCCCTTTCTCGTAGAAGACAAAATTTACTCATAAAGATAGCCATATTATGATAAGAAATTGTATCAACTTCCCGAGGATGTTTCAAACGGACGACTGTTCCGTAAAAGTCTGATGTAAGCCCAACGCCGTTAACGTCACTCACTGATCAGAAAGGTAAGCCGACTCATTTCGCTTCAATATAATCCGACTTGTTCCCTTCTACGTGGCTTGATTGTAATGCTCATAGATGAGGGATGGTATCTGGTCTAACCATGGAGAGATCGGTGGCTAAGATGCATCACATCCGTCTACATCAAAGAGTAATCCGAGGGCATCTAGGTACTCCCATAAGGTTTCCCACCATGTATGTAGATCTACCACAAAACTAGTCCACAACTAAGCTTTTTTTTATGTCTCGAACGAAGGGATCGATCCCGTCATCATTGTCTTCCTCTATTTGCTGCCCTCAGTGTCCTTTGTTGGGCGCTTGATGAGATAATATGTCTCGTACACGTCCTGCTCCCCGTAGGTAGAAAGATCCTGAATCTCCTTTTCCAACAATTCGAAGCCGGCTTTAGAAAATAATTCGAAAGCATTCTTCCCCATGGCGATGACGATAATGTCCAATCCCAATTTCGATGCTACCTCCACGCCAGACTGAACAAGCATACTACCAACACCCTTGCGGCTGTGGTCCGCATGCACAGCAAGATATTCGAGCTCTAGACAAAAAATTTCAGCTACTCCATTACTTCTAGATGCCTCTGAAAATCCCACTCGGAGTTTCACAGATCTCGGAAACTTAGAGTAAAAAGCAAAACATACCTAGACAGTCATCGCGGTCGTACTTGCTTCTCCATTCCCACATATGATCATCCATCTCATCCATATCATCTCTTGGCTCATAGTCAGCCTCCTCAAACTCGCTCTTAAACTTGGCCTTTGCAGCCTCATCAACGTCGGGAGTCTGCGCCTCAAGCCACTTGTCGTCGTGCGAGTCCGGCAGCACCCAGCGCGCGTAGCCAACGATCTCGCCAGATGCCACATCTTTGACCTTCTGATGACGGCGGAGGCCTCTCATTTGTAGCAGGTTCCGAGGTGTTCTGGCCGCGATGGCCTCGACGAGAGACTCGGGCGTCTTCTCCGGCCAGAGGAGCCTCCACCAGGTTTCCTTCCAGTATGCTGAGACATTGCAGCTGGCGATTCCCTTCGCATCTGCAACGGTGCAGTTCGGACTGATCTCGTATGGGGCCATCGCGTTATATTTGTGTTGGCGAAAGTTTCCAACTGGATATCGATTCACGAAGGTGAAGCAAATTGTGATCAAGAGTTGTGGGGTTTTCACTATGATCACGTGATGACCCGTACCACCACGTTCATGTTCCCAAAGGCATCATGACATAAGGCGTTTGATGAGGAGACTATATTCGTTGCTGCTATTGTGTATATAATGTATCAAATAGCGCCTAGCCTGATTTTTGTGCCGATTTTATTGCAGTCTGCATGGTGAGAGCGGATACAAATGTGTCATATTACGCCTTAAAAGACAGTCGGCGGTTTCCTTCTCGGGTCTCTTTCAATTATTTAGAAGGAGCTCTTTTGAATTTTGAAGGTGTGTGAACTAACAAAGGAAACAAGCTGGGTCAAGCTCGAATCTAAGTATTCGAAACCAGGACTTGATTGCCTGTGCTATTATGTTGAGAGGAGACAACAATCCCCGTCCTTAATAACTGCATTATTATTCATTTATTTCCAGACTCCTGAACAGAGATACTCTCCTTCGTAGCCTTTTGTGACGTTGACTGATCTTCGTCTTTCTTTGAGATCTGACTCGCCGAGGCCCGCATCACATGCCTTCTTTCTCGGTGCTTCCGATGGCGCAAGCAGAAGAAAGTACCGCAGCTGACCACCAAAAACACACAGATGAGTGGTAGTCCGATGACCAAAAAGCCGGTCAGACCCCCAAACCGAGGAGACTCTCCCGGCCCACACTTATCCAGAGCTCTCCCGGGAACGACTGTTGTTTCGCCGGGCACCCACACGTCAACCGCCGATTCTGTGCACCTGAGCATCGGTGGAGAGGGGCTTAGAGTGGAAGCGTCTGAGGGATCCCATGATATAAGCCATGCATTGTGGATGCTCAATGTGGTGGTGCCGGTAGTGGTGGTTAACATTGAAATGGACGTTATGGCTGTGTTGTTGACGTAGCCTTGGGTGATCGTGGAGGTTCGCGTGATCGCACTCAGGTTATTCACCAGTGTGCGAGCGCATGGGAATTGGTATATGCCTTCAGCCTCGACGCCATAGGTCAGTGTGAAGCCACTATATATTTGGGATTAGCACATCATGTTTGCAACCTAAAGTGATATCATAGAATGCACCTGGAGCAGCACTTTGCCGTATAATTCCCATTACGAGCTGACGCTAGATAGTTCTGCCCAAGACGATACGCCGTCCAAGCACTTGGACAAACAGCCGGGCTGAATGCAAAGCTTGTGCCGTCCCTTCCTCGGTCCCACCCAGGAGGTTGGCAAGGTGCAAACCGAGAATCGACGGCAGCCGAGACAAATATGGAGAGAGACTCTTGAGAGCGGCCTGTAGTTACGGGATTTGCGGGAACAAAATTGTCAGCACATCCTGATGGAGCAACAAATGGCGTGGTGAGTGCCTGAGCGATCGTCATACTTGGTGATGTTGTTGAAGACATCATGAGCATGGAATTTTAATACTGAGATTGATTTTCGGTTTCATGTGAATCAATGCCGGCGGCTAGAGATCTTGATGAGAATAAATTGACTGCAACAAAAATCCTTTGTAGAGGGTCGATTACAAGTGCTGTATTGCTTGGCGCAGGGCCGACTCGTATTTCAGACAACCTAAGGTGCGAATATGCCTTGCCATTCGAGGACTTAGCAAGTAAAACGGCCGTAATTAATTAGCTCAACTCGTCAGATAATTACGTCCTTCCAACCATGGACAGGGTCTAATAAGAATATAGTGCTTTAGTCAAGCGTATGTCAGCACAGAGTGTTGCCGAGCCGGAGTTTGTGATCATTCATGCCCGAGCACGATGAGACATGGACATTCTTGAATCATTCCCAAATACCTAATCTGACAGGTATTTCTTGAATTTGTTCTCTAACAGATGCAAAACTTCAGAAGACATCCAAGTCCGAAAATACAAAAGTTTGCCCTTTCTCGTCAATATTATCTCTAGTCTTAATTCATGGAAACCCCAAATATTCCGTTTCCTTTTTCTTGTACCCTTTTATATCCAGTATCTTTTGTAAAACCACGAAATCTAACTAACCAAGATCTTAACAATCTGGGACACTAACCGGAATATGCAGAGGCACACTGGTCGCTAGTCCGCTCAAGCTGGTCTCCTTGAACTCGTTCCTCATTCCCTTGGCCGTCAGTCGCATAGCCCTAATAGCGTCATCCAGCCGCACCTTTTGTGTCCCGGCCTTGCTGCTAAGAGCGAGATTCGCGCTTGAGATGGCCTTGATGGCGCCCAGGGCGTTTCGCTCAATACAGGGCGCCTGCACCAAACCACCGATAGGATCGCATGTCAGGCCGAGATTGTGCTCGATGCCAATCTCGGCAGCCTGCTCAATGGTCTCGGGGCCGGCGCCCATGCAGGCAGCAAACGCACCCGCGGCCATGGAGCAAGCCACGCCAACTTCAGCCATGCATCCACCCTCGGCAGCGGAAATGGTTGCGCCTCGCTTGTAGAGCATGCCGATGGCAGCAGCCGTCAGCAGGAAGGTGGGAATGTCGCGCTCGGGGTCGTCACTGACGAACTCGGCTGTGTATTTGAGCACGGCGGGTATGATACCGGCGGCGCCGTTTGTCGGCGCGGTAACAATACGGCCACCGGCCGCATTGGTTTCGTTTACGGCCATTGCGTACACGGATAGATGGTCCATAGCTGGCAACGTCGTTCTTCGAATGGGCGAAGGGGAGATGGGATGGTGTAGAGATCCATGGACGCGGGGGAACTGGCGTTGTCGTCGCGGTGTGGTGGCCACAGACTTGTTCACCGTTCTCAGCAGCGACGTGGAGGGTGCGTTAGGGTGATCGTCCATTGTTCTGCTACCTTCTGGCAGAGCAGGTCGCTGACTATCCTCAGACTTGGATCCGTCGCCAATGGATGAGGTGTGATTAGGATACAGTCCTCTGGTCAATCGCTTGTAGAGGGCCGGAGCACGTCTCTGTAGCTTGAGTGAACCAGGCAAAGCCGTGTCTATCGGGGCCTGGACACCCTCCAAGATGCTGTTGTCCATGACCTCCCAGATCCGGAAGATTTTCCTAAAGATCTCATCCTCTGAGTAGCCAAGACTTCTCTCGTTCTCATACACCAACTGCGCGATGGTGAGATTGTGCTCATGGCAGAGTGCAAGCAAACTCGTGGCATCACGGAAGGGATACCGGGGCTGATGATGGCCGGTTGGTTCCTCAGTCCTCTCGCCTTCAACATCTCGCGTGACAGGGGCCGATCCCGAAGTAGAAACAAGACTCCCAGGCTCAGGCAGTCCAGACTCGGCCAGGCTCTCTGACTCGGCTATCCGCGGTTTTATCTCGGATCCACTCCTACGATCACCTGCCGCATCAGACCGCTTGATCTCTTTGTAGAACAGGTTTTCAGCAAGATCAGCCGGGTGCTTGCCGACATTGCTAGCCTCTCCTGGTGAAACCACCGCAGTGGTGTTTGAGTCGCCCTCGCCCGGAGGTTCTGACCCTGGCTCTTGCGGAGCTGGCCCAGTAGACAAAGCGCCGTTGACAACAAAGCCACCACCGACGCTGAAGAGGTCATTCGTTGCTAGTGGAAATCCCTCCTCGTCGAATACAGTAAGCCGCATGCCATTGCTGTGCATGGGAAGCTTGCGTGACCACTCCCAGATGAAGTCGCGCTCGTAGTCAAAAGCAATCTCCTTCCCATCCCCCTCGCTCAGACCATGACCAAGGAACAACTTCTTCTTTTTCTTGATATCTTCGAATCGCTTCGGAACGTATGAGGTGTCGACGGTCTCGACATCGGCGCCTTCGAGGCCAAGCAGGAGAGCACTTGGCGTCATGTGTCCCTCGCCAGTGAGCGCCAGGCTGCCGTAGATGGAGATGCGAATCTTGTTCACCTTTTGCATGAGGTCTGCGTCGATCAGATCGGCCACGAAAATGTTGCCTGCACGCATTGGGCCGACGGTGTGCGATGAGGAGGGGCCGATGCCGATGGAGAATAAATCGAACGTAGAAATGACGGCGTGCTCGTGGTCGGCCTCGCTGTAGGTGCCCGAGGGCGCCTCATCGCCGCCTTCGCCATCCGAGCTAAAGTTCGCCTCGGTGTTGGATATGGGGCGTCTCGATGTGTTGTGTAGACTTCGAAAACCGGTTCTGGAAGCAAGGTGGTGTTCGCGGTGATGGGTGAGGAATGGCGAGTTGGAGCTATGGAGAGCTCTCTCCGACTTTCGACCGAGCAGCGGGCTGCGATGACGACAGCCAATAGCGCTGCTTGGAATTGTTCCAGGCAAAGCTCGACGAGATGCGCCATTGAAAGCACCACGCAGCAGCCCGAGGGGCTGGCGAAGAATCAATTGGCACATCCTATCGAGGCAGAGAAGGGACAATGACGGGTTCAGGAAGAGGAAGAAGCAGTAGCGGCTGGACTAAATGCTCTTCACCGGGCACAGCACAGATAAGGCAGAGCAAGCTACCAGCGAATCAGAGGCCGCGGATTGTCATCGGTCAGGGGTGCTGACTCAGCATTGGCCAGATAACCGGCGGTCAGATCAACAATCGAATTCCGCATCAACAGCTGGCCAGAGAGAAAGAGGCAGGCCAGGCCAGTCAGGAAGGTGTCGACGGGAGTCCAATTGGCACTTTGCGGGGGAGACAGGGCACTAGGCTCTTAAATACTAGCCATCACCTAAGAATAACATCCAAAAGCATGATCGGGAGCGGGGGATTTTCGGTGTTGGAGCGATGGAGGCTCGGCTTCTATCCGACCCAATCGGAGCCTGCTACATGTAATGGGCTACCCTAAACGCAGCACGCAACAGCCAGCAAAGAACCATTTTGATGTCTAGAATCTGTGGATGTTCGGATCTACTACTGACGGTGCATAAGTCGTGGAGCCAGGCGCTAAAGCTTACTGTCTTTCCAGACCGGCGGGCGCTTCTCCACAAAACTCAGGACGCCCTCCTTCATGTTCTCTCCGCCGTCCATCTTCTTGAAGATGGTGTTGCCCACCCGCAGCGTCGCCTGCTGGGGATCCTCGCTGTCCCAGCCGCTGACCAGGCCCTCCCGACTGACCAGGACCGAATCTGGTGAATTGCCTGCAATCTCTGCCGCCCAGCGGAGAGCCTCCTCCACCAGGTCCTTTGGCGCGCGCACCACCTCGTTCACGACCCCCCAGGCCTCCATCTTCTCCGGGGTGAACATGCGCCCGGTCAGCGCCATCTCCGTCGCGCGGATGCGTCCCACCAGCTTGGTCAGCCGCGGCAGCGCTCCCGCAATGGCCACCACCCCCCTCTTGACCTCTGGGAGGCCGAACTTGGCCGCCTCGCCCGCCAGCACGAGGTCGACGTTGAGGACCATCTCCATGCCCCCGCCGAGGCACAGCCCGTTGACCGCCGCGATGACGGGCTTCTTGCCTCGGCGGTTGCTGAGGCCGCCGAACCCGTCGTCCGTCCATTTCTCGACCTCCTGGACGTTGGCGGTGCCCTCGTGCGCGTCGTTCCACTCCTTGAGGTCGGCGCCGGCGCAGAAGGCGCGGCCCGTGCCTGTGATGACGGCGCAGCGCAGGCTGGGCTCGCTGTCGTACCAGGTCCAGAGGTTGGCGAGGTGGTAGTGCATCTCCCGCCGCAGCGCGTTGAGCTGCTTGGGGCGGTTGAGCTTGACTAGCAGGACGTGTGGGACGGGCGTGGAGATGATGGTGTCGGGCACGTTGGGGTACGGCGACCTGATGTTGCGACACATGGTGACGGCTTTTAGGGGGCTTGAGGTTATGTGAGTGAGAAACCAAAGAAATCAGACCGTAATTGAGGGCGCATTGGATGTGATGCCGATGCTTGCTCAGTCCAAGTGATGGCTTTCGGCAATAAGCAGAAGGTCTGGCTTTAGGTCTGACGCGATGATCCAAAACTGGAAATAGCCTCGGCTCGTGCCCCTAAAACGCGGGGAGAGCTTGGTGCTTTGCCGCCGCAGCGAATGAGCCCCCGTACATACCTGAGTTTTGCTGAGGTTATCAGGTAAGGATGTGCCGTAATTGATAATCCTCCGTTCCCCAATTTGGGTGCAGCCCTGTTGGTCTATTCAATTGATCACATATTAGCGGTGAGTTGAGGCGAAGCTCTGCTTGTTCTGAGCCACCCCACTGAGGCTCTGATCATCAAAGTCGAGAAGCGCAAGCAAGGCGTTCATCACCTTTATCTTTTGATGGAAGCGATCCATGAGATCTGAAGTATTGCCATAGCGGCGAGAAGAAAAGAACTTTCTAGTAGACTATACTAAGCAATATTTGGAAGAACTAATTCTAAATTACGTTGGAGGCATAGCGCTGCACGGGACTGGGAGAACCACTTCAACTTAACACAACAGCAGCAGCTATCCAAAGCTTTCCCAACAGAATGCTCGAAAACTCCAATCGTTTGCTTGGTGCTGCACCATGATCTCAGAACCGCGGCGCTTCCGGAGCTTCTCTAACGGGCCTGAGAATCCTTTCATAGCCCGACACCCACATCCCGCCCTTCCCCCAGTTCGAGCTATCAGTCACCGAAGCAAAAGACTTGAAATAATGAGCATAGTCTGTGGGGATGCGCATCGTGATCTCTGCTGCTCTTGCGGGAGGACTGTCCATCAAGCTCCGGATGATGCCCTGCTTGACAGCGCCCACGTCCAGATCATTATGCATCGCCACCTCGTTGTGCAGGAATTTGTCAAACTCCCTGGAGCAGACCACCATATCCAGCGCCTCACACACTTGGAGCTCCATGTCGTCAACCGCATCGCGTATGTCGATGTAATCCCAACCGGTGGGCCGTTGCACCCCGAAAGTTCCAGAGAGCGCAAGTTTCTTCAGATCAAAGTCCACGGCGAGGGGAGCAAATAAATCCGACCAACTGTGCGTGCTTCCTTCTGGGAGCTGGCAGTGGCCCAGCTCCAAGGTCTCGAGGCTCCGCTGGCGGCGAAGGAAGTTTAGAAAGGTCGGGGGTACGATTTCGACGACTGATAGCCGGAGCCTTGTCAGGTTCGGCCATGTATACTCCACGGGCAGGACGTTGGCGACTTTTGGATAAAAGCTGATTAAATCTGTGTCGCCAAATCCAACGTCTATATCTTCCAGGTGAGGTGCCGAGGATAAGAAAGTCCTGAATCGGTCTGTGGACAGACCGCTTTCAGCGCTTTCCACCGTCTCAGCGCAATGAGTGACAGTGAGTCGAAGGGTGTTGAGATCTCGGAGACTCCCCAGAAGAGAGTCGAACTCGGCTGCCTCGGCGGCAACATTGCCATTGAAGAATTGAGCGTCGAGCGCTTCTACCCTGAGGGTTCTAAGCCCCGGTTTCCCTATACCGCGTAATAGCGCTTTGAGCGGCTTGATCCCTGGACGGCCCGCATATGTTGTTCCTGTATAGGATGGATAGAATGGTTGGCTTTCCTTGTGAATGTAGGGATGGGCTTCGTAGATTTTCCTGTACGTCTCATCGCGGGATGTGCGATCCTGGCGTTTGGAATACCGCACCTCAAGATTGTTGAGGTTTCTGAATTGCTGCAAAGCATCCTGCACCCGTGGAGATTCAAGAGCTGTGAAAGCTTCATTCTGCCTGGAAAGCAGAAGTCTAAGGCCCTCCCAGCTACTTCTCATCTCTTCCTCATCTTCGAGCATGTCGAAATCAAGGTGTGGATGAATATCCTCAGCCATCTCGGCTAGTTTGTCCTTCCATTCGTCAAGGGTGCTGTCTTCGGGGTCGAATATGTCCATCACAAAGACAATGATGAAGACATGGTGTTTCAGGACGGGATCCGATGCAATGTTGCATAGCCGGTCGAGACTCTCGGGGAAGAGTTGGACAGTCAACCTTGGAAGCAGCGCAGGGAGGCCCACGTCAGCCAGTCTGTGGCAGGCAAGTCGAAAATTGCTCACATCTCGGTGGCGAGGAAGAGATTTACATATCTGATCGAGAATTTCGACAGGTAAAGTGTTCAAAGCGATCGCCATTGTACGTCGTTCTTGTTGGCCGAGCCAGGAACGCACAAAGGGTGAGACAGTGAGGCAACTGAGAAAATTGTGCGGGGTTGGAAGTGCCGAATTGAAACGGCATTTCAAACAACTGTTCCAACGGGCCCAATTTTACTCCAATTTTACTAAACGCAGCCCACAGGTAAGCAGAATCTTCCTTGCCTTGAATGCTTCCCCCCTGCTTCCAGGTCCTGACTTACCCTGCACCCAGAGATCACGTTGACTGCGATTGCCATTTTTCGGTGACTTACTCGTACCTTGTAAATATAAACATTTTGTGAGTTTTCTATTCTTAGAATGAGGCATATTGTGGCCTTATTGTATTCAGGTTCTTGTTGCTGCTCTAGCGGGAAGCTATTGGTACTTCAGGGGGTACGATACTGGGCTTCCTGCAGGTGAAGGTAGTGAAGTGATAAATCTTTTGACGATGCTTGTAAATATGTATTCTCATCATACGTAGGAAGCTATTTAGTGTTAGCCTGTGAATCGCTGCAATGATGGCCCGAGTGTATAATTATCCGGGAACATTAACCGAGACTCTTCGTGAAGATCTTCAGCCATGGAACTAATAAGAACAACCAGGGGCTCCGACTGGAGATATCCCTGGCTTTTAGAAACCCCATGAATGAATCATAGTCAATGCGACAGCCAATGTGCAGCTCACCAACATGAGGTTGCTTGCACCCCTGATGCTCCTTGTGAGCCTTATGGTAGAATTACTTGTGGCCGACAAGCTGAGAATTGACCGAAAGGCCGTCGTTCAATCTTTCAACCCAACAAGGACGGACAGCTCACCCGAAACCCCTTTGCAAGTGGGCAACGGGAACTTTGCCTTTGGCGCAGACATCACCGGTCTCCAGACGTTTGGACCCTTCTCTACGCTGTCGACTTGGGGCTGGCATAACTTCAGCCTGCCCAAGACCCCAGGCCAGACACAAGTATCAGGTACCCTGGGATTCTCTCCAGAAGTTTGAAAGCAACCGTAGCTGATCAAGTGTTGTAGACTATCATGGTACAGACTGGTGGACTCATGGCCGTCTCGTCAATTACAACATGGTCAGCCCCAACGAGAGCGAGATTGGGAACTGGCTTCGAGAAAACCCTCATCGAATCAACCTTGCGAGGATCGGACTCGTCTTCGGGGATCAAAATATAACTGAAGCCGCGCTTTCTAACAAATCACAAACCCTGAATATGTGGACCGGCATCCTCACCTCTCACTTCACATACAAAGACGCCTTGGTGACGGTTGAGACGGCGTCAGACCCAGAGACGGATACTCTCTCGATAACAGTTAAATCTTCGCTTCTTTCTTCCGGCGACATCGGAGTGGGTTTTGATCTCCCTTATCCCGTCAACCAGAAGTTTGAAGCCCCATCCGTTGGAACCTTTGACAGTCCAGAGAAGCACTCTAGCTCCCTGACTCAGTGTGCAGCGGGCAGCCAGGGCACCAGAGCTAGAATCGTCCATGACCTTGATAATACTACTTACAGCTTGCATCTAAATTGGAATTCGGCTGACAAGATCATCAGGTCAGATCCAAGTACTCACAAATACTATTTGTACCCTCAAAGCTCCGATACATTGAGCTTGACAATCGACTTTTCTAAAACAGATCGCTCACATGTTTCCGTGGATGCCTTAAAGGTTCAAGAACGATCTAGAGATTGGTGGCAAAATTTTTGGGAGTCGGGCGCATTCATTGACCTGACGGGATCTGAATCTGAAGCAGCCCAAGAGCTTCAGCGTATCACCATCCAGTCCTTGTACCTCGAAGCGGTTAATATTGCTTCCGACTTGCCTCCTCAAGGTATTACATCTTTCTGGTTTGGTCTGTGTGCTTGATGCTGACTCGCGTTTAGAATCTGGTATGTCCTTGGAAGCCTGCTCTGATTCTAATGCCTCTAGTCCCTAGAATACTGAATGAACCCAGGTTTGGTCAACAATGGATGGTATGGGAAGTTTCATGTAAGGACAAATTTCACTGAACTATTGGCGGTGATGTCCCTGATATTGAAAAATAGATGGAAATGTACGGCTGGCACACCTTCCAATTTGCACGCTGGAATCACTGGCCTCTGTATTGGCGCTCCGCCAACCACACATATCAACTCCTTCTGGACGATGCACTTAGTCGAGCAAAGAGGCAGGGATACGAAGGTGCGCGATGGGGCAAAATGACAGGATCCAACCTCGTTGATAGCCCAGGAGAGATCAACACTCTTCTCATCTGGCAGCAGCCCCACGCGATGTACTTTGCAGAACTCGAATATCGCCAATTCCCGAACCCGGAGACGCTCGAGAAGTGGGATCAGGTCCTTTCGGCCACGGCAGACTTCATGTACTCATACGGGTTTTGGAATGAATCGTGTTTTCAACTTGGCCCACCAATGTATCCCATCTCCGAAAATACTCAACCAAACTCGACTGTTAATCCGACATTTGAGCTGGCGTACTGGCGCTTTGGCCTCGAAGTTGCATCCAGATGGAACAAACGCCAGGAGAAGCAGGTGCCGACTCACTACACGGAGATGCTAGAGAAGCTGTGTCCTCTCCCCGTCGATAACGGCACATACCCTATTTATGAAGGTATACTTGATATGTGGATCGATAATAACACAGTTACTGATCACCCTGGAATGGCTGGAATCTACGGGCTTCTCCCGCCCCCTTCAGAACGAGATGCTCTAGACTTAGGAATCGTACGTCATACAGCCGACCGCATTCATGAAGTCTGGGACTTACCCAACTCATACGGGTGGGATTTTCCAATGCTGGCAATGAATTCTCTTCGGTTGGGGGACGTGGACCGTGCGATAGAGTATCTGCTTCACCCGTCGTTTGATTTCGATGATGCCGGGTATCCAACCGGGGGCACAAGGGTTCCTCGGCCGTACTTCCCAAGCTCGGGGTCATTTCTGCTGGCCATGGCAATGATGGCTGGGGGCTGGGATGGAGAGGAGTATCCGCATTTTCCTACAGACTGGGCTGTGAAGGTGGAAGGGTTCACCCCGGCGATGTAAGAAGAGGTGTTGGCGAATTGGTACTGTGTCCGGGTACGCCGTAGTTAGTGTGCTGAGCCAACAATCATATGGGCATGGCGTAGGTATAATTGAAGGGCAGAGACTAGGGCTTTATCCATTTCCTAGTGCCCATTGTATTTTCTTTGATTTGTTACGGTCAGATGAATTAGTTCTCCGCTACACAAGTGGCTGAGCAACAAGGCATTCTCTCTTGGCTGATGCGGGGCTACACAAGCGACTGCGCCTATTATGATACAGTAATCAAAGGCTCTAGTGTCAATGGATGAACCTTGATTGAATGTTGGTCAACTGTTTGAGTTTTTGCAACACTCAAACTTTCACATCACTTGTTTTCAAACATCACCTGAGCACAAAGGTGGGAGTTCCGACACACGAGACTGAAACAAGGCAACACAACTCGTTCTGATTCTTTGTCCTCGAGCACTTTATATTATGTCCGTCAAGCCGCGTTGCATTTTCCAGCCTGAGCAACTTCTCGCCCATCCTCATCTCAATCCACCACTTTCGCGCCGACCACATCCTCTTCCGTGGCCCCAACATATCAACAATTTCGTAACAACTCAGCGTCAGCATGTCGGCTTCAGAATTCGAGAACAAGGAGATCACGCCCTTCTCCGTTGTGAATCCCAACAAGAGCAACTGGGCGACTACGGCCAAGAATGTCCTGCCCTCGAATTTCTCGAGCGCCAACGTTACTCCTGGCAATGTCCCGGGCCAGATAAACTACGAATCCCTGCGAAAGAGCGGCGGCATCCAGGAGGGCGCCATGCTCACACTCACGTCTGCGATCGGGACCCAAGTTGGCGTCCACGTATATGAGCCCAGCCCAGAGGCTGCGATTGACGTCGTTGTCGTCTTCTTCCACGGAAACGTCCGACCAACCCGATATAACCCTGATATCATCACGCCGTTTTTGAAGTGCGGGGCTACTGTCGTCGGTCGAGATCTTCCCGGGTACGATCAGAGCTCCTTTGTACCCAACACCCCAGGCTCAGTGGAGCTTGCAGCTATCGCAAACGACGAAGTCGTTATGAAGTGGGTGCTAGAGAAGTATCCAACCTCCCGTATTGTCCTCTGTGGCCGTTCGATCGGGACCTTGGCCTGGAGTCGCCATCTCTCCAACCCAAGAGTTGTTGGCGCGATTGGGATCGTGCCGCTTAAAAGCATGGCATCCCTGATCCGTCCCCAAATTGAGAGCAAGACCCCAGGACTTGTGTCCAAGTCGCTGGAAACCTTTTCGGTCATCGGATGCTTCGAATCTGTCTTCGATGCGATCTACCCTGCCAACTGCCATCCGGAAAATCTGGAGGGCCTCACAACTACAGGGCTCCGGATCGCCAAGTTTGAATCTGGAGTTGGCGGGAAACGTGTGACCCTCTTTCCAGCCAGCAAGGACTTGCTTGTCCCGAGGGATGCGGCAACTGAAATCAAGACGATGCTGGAAGCGTCCAACGTGGATGTGAAGATGCATACACTGGAAGGGGGCCACAGCGCTTTGCCTACCGCAGAGCAGCTTCAAGAAGCCTTTGAGAGCATCCTTGTGTAGATCAAATCTGCTTTCATAACCACGGATTGAGTTTGGCGTTTGGGAAAAGGCTAGGAATAGAAAATGGTGTAGTTTATCTTAAAATGATGTGTTCTGCCACTTTCACCGTCTAATTTGAAATATATTCTCTTATCACTTGGGCACGACCGGCGTTGAGATAACTGTCAACCCTCTGACTCGCATAGTATTTTCATCGAGAGTCGCTCCTGGATGAGATGTGTCTCAGAGAACATGCCTTAGTGAATTAAGAAAATGTACGTGTCTTTGGTATCATTAGATCACGTTGTTGGTACCATGGTGATACATTTCCGGGCGAAGAAATATTCTGCGTGACGCGAATTAAATGCCTCGTAAGAAAAGATCCGGACAGACCGGCTGATGGAGGGAGGTTGGGTGGATTGATAACTGGCCGGGTTGATCAGTTTGTTCCTCGTTCATATCTAAGTGACCTGGCTCCGGCATGCGTGATGGCTGGTGTTTCTTGCATAATCAAAGCTATATCAATCTGGAAGTAGAATATTCTTTTTGAATGTCATGACGCAAGCAACAATAGTGGCACAGCTTGATTGTGGTATTTGTACCAGTGCTGCACATGTTTCGACGTCCCACTTGTAAGACAAGGCGCTGTGGTTGCCTTGATGTAGGGTTGATTTATTCAGCCACTGGCATCATGCATATGTTCCTAATAAGGCTGTCACTTTTCTCCGATTGTCAGCTGATGGACAAAGACAGCCCTCTAATGTCATCTCGTTGTAGAAAAGGCTAACATATCGCTTCTGCCTCTAGACAGTGCCTCCTACACGATCGGCTGAATTTGTGCCTTGCCTGAAGAGCTGATGGCGGCTATAGCGATACTCGATTACGTTCGCGTGGGCCTCCCCTAGCCTGGATTAGACCATAACAACTACAGCCTTGGCTCCATAGGGAGCTTCACTATAGTCGTTATTATGCTTGCCCACAAGGGCTTTTGGAAGCCATCAGGACTCGACAATGGCTCATACGATGCACGGGGAAAAGATCGAATTTCGTCTGTCGCAATACCTGAAGGCGACCCAAACTTATCAGCCCGGTTCACTCGTCCGGCAGAGCCCTCTGACGTGCCGTGTGAGCATACATGTTCACGATTAGCATTACTTATATTCGAATTAAAATACCATCCCTTGTAACCAGCCAGTCTAGCCCGGAATGGATCACAGTGGTGGCATTTTTGATAAGGCTAACAAAGAGGGTGGGATTCGTTTTGATAGTTCACAACATTTGGGGTGCCCATAAATTTGAGAGGCATCAAATCAAGGTAATTCAGTGGAAGTGATACCTAATAGAGTTGGGTTTTAAGTGCCGCACTCAGAGGCGTAAGAGGTGTCTTTGATAGTTCGGCTCTAGGACATAAATATCGATCAATCACGGGCAAAAGCTGGCTTCACTTTCTTAGTAGTATATAGAGTAGGCGTTCGTTAGTGCACATGTACTGAGAAAATATCTAGGATGACAATCTTATGCAAGCCAAGTTGTGCAATAGGAAAGGTGGCGCTCCTGAGCAAGATCTTTGATGGTATTCTCCAGTCCCAGGCAATGATTTTCCTATTTGGGTGTTTTGCCACGTTTTCATGGTCTCCAATCCTGCTTTGTGGCTGTGAATCAGAGACACTCGCTTGAGGGGATGTGCTCCAATCGTATAGACAGCCAATAAGCGCTTCGAGAGGGTGCGAATCCTCTAATATGCGATGGAACAATAGAGCATGGGTGGTGAAAAGTCCGAGCGTGATCTACAGGCCTTTTGACTGTTCTTAGATGGAGACTCGCATTGTGCTAGCTCATATCTGAAATGGTTTTAAAGAATAAACTACTTTCAACTTTGGCAAGGAGAGCCTGGCTTTCAACTATGATTTAGTCGCTAAAAGACTGAGGTGAAGTGTGATGAAAGTGTTCATAACGGTTGTCCAAATTGCCTCCCAAAGCGCCCAGGCTCACAATCGGACCGACCCATGCCTCAACTTTCTTCCTCGCATGTGGGACCGTTCATATGATGTTGTGATACATCCTGCCGGAGTGTTTTCTCTTACATCAACCATGCAGGTGGCGGTGAGATAACAGTGTTGCATATTCCCCATGGGATTGCTTTCGGGGAATGCCTGAAAGATGCAGTCTCCACGTCTCCCCCGACACGTCACGAAATGGTGTTGCGATATTGAGCCCAGACAGCAGTAGCAAGTACATGAGAAATCAGCTGACTGTCTGCCGTGTGGATGTATCAGATAGAGATGGACCCAGAAATAAGTTTGGGCAATGGTCCTCTATCCATCTATCAGCAATGGTCCATTTCGAAACTAACGCCGCAGATTAGTATAACGCTGAATTATAAAACTCGTTAATGATGAAAGTCAAGAAACAATGTAAATATGACTCTAGTTCCACTTTCCAAAGCAGCTGTGAATGGGCTCTAGGCAGGGTGGTGGTATAACTCCGGATCACAGCAGCGAAGGAAACACTGCCCACGTTGTTATTTGCATGTGAATCAGCCGAGTTTAGTGTCAATGTAGCTTTCACAAGGCACATAGTACAAGGTATTTCGCACAGTGTATTCTAACTGACGCAAGTAACCCTTTGACTCGCGACTCACTGCTTGTGTCTGCTGACTGGCTTGGCTTCTTCAACACACACCTATGTGGCCGGCGGAACTTTCCCAAGTGCACTCCCCATTGTGGAGATTTGCTGCGATATAGGCCCTTCTGTCTGAGAATAAACACCGTTGCTACGTACTCAATACAAAGGGGTATACATAGGATTCGGAAGTGGGGCATGTATGCGGCCCATGTCCCGGAGGATCTTCTGGCTTGCTGCATTTGAGGGGGAAGCAGGGTAAGTTTTGCCCACCCCGGTGTCGGCTTTCGGAGCATTCGGGCAATCGCTTCTCGTTATTGTAGAAGATTGCAAGGTCGATCAAGTGCAAACAACGCAGAAACTCATTGAGCTTTGAGTGAAGACAACATGGCGCAGAAGAGTAAGTCTGAACAAGCTCTGGGGTAGGATGCATATTAACAAAGGCTGTTCATATAGCGAGTACAAGCAATGGCATGGGTCGGACCAGATTTCTTTCAAGCCGGACCCTGTTGGTCGCCATATTCCTCCTCATCATAGCGGCACTTGTCCCCAGGCTATCGTCATATCTAGAAGACTTCGGCTTCACGTGGCCGCTCACCGCATCCAATGATCGTGTAGATTACACTCTGAGGATCAATAAATTCACCCCAAATCAGTATCAAGCAGCGCCGTACGTGAGTAATGGCTATTTTGGACAGGCTCTGCCCGCTGAGGGCGTTGGGTATTGGGTGTTTCAAAATGAAGACGGGACACCAGCACTAAATGGTATGAATTATGATGACCTACATCAGGTTCTGCAATGAGATGATTCAATTTGCTGACTCGGGACTACGCAGGATGGCCTCTTGACCAAGACCGTGCAACATTTGGTACCATATCCGGGTTTTGGAACCTGCAAGAAAGGGTCACGCATCCTATCTTGTGGGAGAATGTTGCACGAGGAGGTGAGAGTGTTATCGCAGGAATTCCAGACTGGACGGCCCTTACCGTGTCTACCTCGACTGGAGAAACTTATCAGCCTGGCGTTAGCCCTCATACTGTGGTAGACTACACTCAAAGCCAGTCTCTCACGGATGGAGTTGTGATGACAAATGTCACATGGCACCCGGAGTCAGTATCGACTCTCATGCAACTGAACTTTACTGTTCTCGCTCATCAAAATCGACCAACACTCGGACTTGTGAGGCTTGATCTGACACTTGATGGCCCAGTTTCCGTCAAGGTAAGAGATATCATCGACGGTAGAGGGGCTGTCAGGTCTGAGTTCCACGAGAAAGGTTTCGAACAGAAATCTCGCATCTGGACGAGCGTGAAGCCCGTGGGTGTTGGAGATACCACGGCTTATATTGTCTCCCAAGTTCAATTCCTTGGATTAAATCCGGAAGAAACAGATCTGTTGGCCGCGTCTCGAAAGGATGCCACTGGAGATAAAGAGCATATGTCTCTGGATGGAAGCACAATCGCTCAGAGCTGGGACTTTACTCTGGCCGAAGACCAGCGAAGAACTATCAGCATTATCAAACATGTTGGTATCGCCTCCTCGGACGCGTTTCCTGATCACACCAAGACTATCGCAGTTGATACAGTGAACTCTTCTTTTGAAGAGTCGTGGGAAGACTTGATCCAGGAACATTCGAACTCTTGGGCTGCCGTGTGGGATGACGCTGATATCGTGGTTCCTGGAGATGCTGAGGTCCAGACAATGGTTAGAGGAGCCCTGTTTCACTTGTTGTCAAACTCGATATCAGACAAAGAAACCACACCTAGAGGCATGTCCCAAAATTCCATATCGGTAGGTGGTTTGAGCAGCGATTCATACGCTGGGCTAGTATTCTGGGACGCTGACGTGTGGATGTACCCGTCACTGCTTGCACTCCATCCCGATCGCGCCAAACCGATTCTCAACTATAGACAAAGGCTGCTCCCACAAGCGTTGGAGAACTCGCAGCTTTACAATAGGCCTGGTGCTCTATATCCCTGGACGAGTGGGAGATATGGCAACTGTACAGGAACTGGCATCTGCGCTTTATATCAGTATCATCTCAATACGGATATTGCCATGTCACATTGGGACTACTATCTCCACAGTGGCGACGTCGAATGGCTAAAAGATCATGCTTGGCCAATTCTGAAGAGTGTAGCCGACATGTTTGCCGAATATGTTGTGCTCAATAAGACGACCGGCCGATACGACACACTCGTCCTCGGAGAGCCGGTAAGTACACCGCCTCACATATATGAATGTGAACTAACAAACCTGTATACAGGACGAGTTTGCATACTATATCAACAACGGGGCTTTCACAAACGCCGGCATCAAGCTACTTCTTGGAGAGTGGGCACCGACAGCAGCGAAACTGATCGGGCAGGAAGAAAGTATTTCAGCAAACTGGTCTGCCATCGCCAAAGGCCTTAAAATTCCATATGATGACAAGGAAAAGATCATTCTCGAATATGATGGAATGGACGGTACAGTTATCATCAAACAGGCCAGTGTGGCCTTACTCTCATATCCACTCGGATGGAAAATAGAGGATGAGCAAGCCTTGAATGATTTGTCATTCGTAAGTAACAGTGCTGCTGCCACTTATCATGATATGTTATACTAAATTCCTAAAACAGTATGCGAGAACTACAACACCAGATGGGCCAGCAATGACATGGGCAATTTACGCAATCGCAGCGCTGCACCTGCATCCAACCGGCTGTGCCGGGTACACATATCTACTTCAAGCGTCGCAACCATACCTGCGTGACCCTTTCCAACAGTTCAGTGAGCAACGGACCGACACGTGGTCTTGGAGTGATGGATCTTCGTCTTGGTCTATCCTAGAAGAGTATTTTGGTACCGAGGGCACTACTGCAGCTTTCCCATTTCTTACAGGTTATGGGGGTTACCTGCAGATCTTTACCCACGGCTTCACAGGGATGCGAGCCGAGTCTGACGCTCTCGTCATAGACCCAGTCATGGTACCCCAGCTTCCAGAGGGTATCAAGGTGCGAGGCATCAAATACCGGGGAGCTGTACTTGACTTTGACATTGGGCTTCAATACACGACTGTCTTACGGCGTGAGGCCTCTTATGGAGATGGTCATGTGGTCATTCGACATTTTGATACGTATTTTACATTGCTGCCTGGACAGAAGATCAAACTCAATACGAGAAGGCCCGATCTCACCAGTACTTCTGTCTTGGGTAACATCGCGCAGTGCAAACCCGTAAGATCAGAGTCATCAGGTGCTGCGGCCGCTTGGGTAGCAGGCCGTCATCCGGTGGCGGCCGTGGACGGGTCCGCGGACACGGTTTGGCAGCCCCTTACAGCCGACGCCGCTTCTATCATCATCGATCTTGGGGGGACGAGATCGATGAGCAGTGTCTTAGTGAACTGGGCTGCTGTACCTGCAAAATCGTTCTCAGTCCATGGTAAAATAGGCGACGAGTGGATGGAGATGCTCAGGGTAGAGGATATCAAGATTTCCTCTCCGTATAATCCAGAAAAGGTGAAGACAGTTGCAGTACCCAAGGGAAACACGACTGAGGTCCATCTGGAGAAGAAATGGGAGTGTCGTGGAGTGAAGTTCACGATTCAGGGAACACAGGGGCCGGACAAGGTCTCTGGTGCTACGGTTGCTGAGATCTCATTAGTTTGAGAACTCGGTACAAATAAGATGAGCTTTGCGTTAACGTAGAAAGGAGTGGAAGCCAACAGTAGATTGATACTATGCACTATCCGCTACTTCTCTAATAAGCTCGGCTATCCGCTTCATCTCAGTTCTGCCTCTAGGGAAATCATGGTCATGCTCATGATGATATTCCAGAGCTGTGCTAGGCTCACACATCTCATAAAGATGCAACCCATGATGTCTGTGCTCGGCCGGGCAGCGAACATGGAGAGTTGGAATGTCGATCAAGATATCCTCGCTCACCGCGTTGTATCTTACCATGCCGTATTCACCATCCGTAAAGCCCAGACTGCCATCGGGCAGCGTAACACCCTTCAACCTGGCGAACGCTGCCTTCACAGCATTCACATCAGGTTGATCTTCATTCTCAATACCTGCCTTCTTGCGCAGGGCCGAAGGTCTCATGACAATATCTGCTGCTTCCTCTGCAATGCTTCCTTTGATAGTGTCATGAATAACCAAATCGCTTTCAGCATAGTCGTCAAGTGAGAAACAGTTGAGTGGCGATGCTGCATTGATAAAGATGGCGAATCGAAAAGCCCGCTCATGTGGAAGGGCAAGGGGATTCTCCATTCGATCCTTGATGATGAGCTGCGCGGCCAAGGACGCGCCTCCAGAGTACCCAAGTATCCCATCAAATGGGCCTTCTTCTCGGATTATGGCAAAAAGGTCCTCTTCCGCTTGGAGAACGGAGGCGGGGTCAAGCGGGTAGTAGTAGCCATAGAGCGGTAGCTTCGAGAAAGACGTGGTGTAGAGAGACCAGTTGCCTATGGAAATGAATATATGGATTAGCTCTTGGGCAAATTGATTTGCGAAGCATCAAGTGCCTTTGGGCTGGGGCTATACCTTCAGTGTGCCTAAAGGTCCCTTGGACAAACTCCCATTCGAAGTCTTCTAAGTCCGCTCTGATCGCCGCTGTTTTGTGATGTCAATATCATCCTAGATTCCCACAAAGGTAGGGGCCGATTGTCCCCTCTACATGTCCGCTGTTTGTGGTGTTGCGTGTGACACATCTGAAAAACATGCTGTACGGACCTGTCTGCATACGAAAGATCTTTAAGAGGGTTAGAGCCTGGCTCTGCATTTCTTCACGTAGTTGGGAGGCTTACCTCATTGTTAGAGCCACGTCCGTGCAAGCAAAGTATGCGCATGATGCAATGGTTGGCCGCTGGTGACTCGATTTGATACCAGTATCGCTTTTTTGCTTCACGATGGATGAACAGAGAATGATTTTTGCGAAGCTACCAGTAAAAAAAGGCCGTTATCGGAGAGGCTGAATCATTGGGAATGTAACAATTCAGTCGGTAAAACCTAGATCTCGGTCAAACAACCTATTATAGGTCGCAGTTATAACATGGGATGGGCACAAGGATCCGAATGCCCCTAGTTATGACGCGTCCAGGGCCCAAGGATCACAACCGTTGAATGTGTACATCAGCAGGCGGTGATTGGCAGAGCAGATGAACGGTATACATACTTCCCACTTCTCCGTTATCGTGAAGAAAACCAGGTACTCGTTGTACTGCTCATCCAGATATCCTCGTGTGGTAATAGGGGTGTACATTGGTCTTATGCTCATATACTTATTGGCTCATCTATGAGAGTGCTGTTCAGCTGTAACGAAGACAGTCGCCTTCTTGTGCCACTATGTAACTTTTAAACGTTTAGGATCCCCGAGGTTCGTATCAGACCACCAGGATGCGTCACCATGGCCCAATGTCGGTGGCATGCACTTGATGCTGACACTAGACAATAGTTCCCTTCCATGGGTCCCATGCCGTGTAGTAAGTAAAGTGAACGCTTGCACACGGCCCACTGATTCCCTGATTCACGGACAATTAAATAGTCTCTAACGCGCACATAAGTAGTGAGCATTTAGTGCGCAAATGATCTACGATTGACTGGGTGAGGGACCGAGGCTGCGAGGGTAAATATAGATCCGCCGGCATTCATGGCCGGATATTAAACACTCGGCATGCCAGGGGCTTCCCCTGTGTGTGAATAGCGATAATATTGCTGCACCAAAGTAACCCCTCTTTGGTATTGGAAACCGGATGATAGTCATGTGTTAAGCACTGTGTGATTCAGAGATGGATGTAAGCTCGAGTCGGACGCTTCTAGACTTTCCCAGTGTGGCGGCATTTGGCGATCACTGAATGGGAAGTTTCTGCGCGCTTCATCTGCAGGATGAGCCGACAGGGGCAACGTTGCTCGCGGTCCGAAACCTCACCGGGCTCAGCCCCCCATGGGGAGCTCAAATCCACGGAAACATCTCCACTGTTAGGATCAATCATTCTAGGGAGCCCAGTGACAAAGCTCGTCCCTGGCACTTAACCCACATGGCAGTGTACAATCAATCAATACTGTGATTGGGGCATCTCCGATCTCGAAGTATGGTGTCATGGATTAACGCCTGCACAGCGCTCATCCCCTGGCCAGCGAGCTGGGAAGCACCGAATCCTTCGGCAATGGGCTAATAAGATCACAAGAGAGCCTTAAGAGTGAACCACGTAGGGAATTTGCTGATAGGGGAACCCGGATTTGTTGAGGAAGGGGATTGGATGTCCGGTTCACGCGTGGCAGGACTGATAATCCTATGATATTGCATGTTCTTGCATGAGAGTAGTTTCTCGTTAGTAATAGGCCCGATATACGAATTGGGACAACAAATCATCATGTATCTTCTACTTTGGCGTATGGGGGGGTGAGAATTGAGTAGCCGTGACCGAAAATCCCAACTTGTCCCTAAAGGCGTGCCAACAAAGTTGTTACAGGGATGATGAGAACACATAGACTCAAGTGCCTTGATTCAGAGCTAAGTAAAATCCTTAGCAATGAATGCGTTTCACCAAGTGTAGCGGGGTTCTCGCTCAACCCACGGCGGTGAAAATCCATATGAATGAGCCCCCTCATAAGGAAGAACGGACACGCTGAATCTCATATTCCCCTCGCCCGTAGTACTTCGCAATATAACCCCTTCATCTAAAACAAAATTTCAACAAATATGTCTGGAGAGGGGTTGCTCAACGGCCACAACGGCCACAACGGCACTGACAAGTTGCCGGTCGCCAAAACCCAGCAGGACTGGAGTGCCTTCGATTTTGGTGATGCATCTGAGCCCATTGCCATTATTGGTCTTGCCACACGCTTTCCACAAGATGCGTCGACAACAGAAAACTTTTGGGACTTCCTCGTTAAGGGTAGATCTGCGTGGAGCGATTTCCCTGAAGACCGTATCAACAGTAAAGGGCACTACCATCCAAACCCAGACCATGGAGGAACCGTATGATTTCACACACTCCGCTTGGTGTCTCTTCCTAATGCTTGTGATAGTTTGCAGTGAAAGGTGGCCACTTTTTGGCCAAAGACCCTGCATATTTCGATGCCCCCTTCTTCAGCACCACAAAAACAGAGGTCTTGACAATGGACGTTCAGCAAAGAGTACTTCTTGAGAATGTGTACCACGCACTGGAGAATGGTAGGTTACGATGCCGATTAGATTCTACTTTCTTCAAGAATGAGGCCTCAAACTTCCATGCTAACCCTGAACAGCTGGCATTTCACTTCCAGAAGCAAGCAGTTCCAACACCTCAGTCTTCGTCTCCGGGTTCAACCATGAGCATCTTCTTCTCCTAAGCTCAGACCCAGAATTGACGACAAAATATAAGCCAACTGGCACCAGTAACTCGTTGCTGGCTGGCCGTGTATCGTGGTTCTATAATTTTGTCGGTCCCAGTGTGACCATCGATACTGCTTGCTCGAGTAGTATGGTAGCCATGCATTTGGCCTGTCAGAGTCTTCTCAACGGAGAAAGCAACATGGTGAGTAAAGCAAAACCTTTATTTATTTCCTATTTTTAATCCTTCTTAGGGAATCGTCAGTGGTGTGACCATTTTCTACACGCCTGGCGAAGTGGTTGGCATGTCACACCACGGCTTTCTTGGCAAGGATGGCCGCTCCTACAGCTTCGACCATCGTGCTGAAGGCTATGGTCGGGGCGAGGGCGTGGGCACAGTCATCGTAAAGCGTCTTCGAGATGCTTTACGAGATGGAGATACCATCCGAGCTGTGGTAAGAGGCACTGGCGTGAACCAAGACGGGCGCACAGCAGGTGTGTCTCTCCCCAGTGCTCAGGCCCAGGAGGCATTGATGAAAACCGTCTATGCCAAGGCAGGACTCGACCCCAAAGACACACGTATAGTGGAATCTCACGGCACCGGTACTGGTGCTGGTGATCCGCTGGAGGCAAGTGCCCTCGCCAAGGTATTCTCCCCGGGGAGGAGTGAGGAGGATCCTTTATACGTTTGTGCACTGAAATCTGCAATTGGGCACACCGAAGGCGCAGCAGGTGTCGCTGGGTGAGTTTTCCTATCTGGCCTTTGTCCGTGACTTCGAAGTTGACTGAAAGCTAACATGACATGCTCTAGACTTATCAAGGGCGTTCTTGTTCTCGAGAATGGAATTCTGTCCCCCAACAAAAACTTTGAGAAGCCCAATCCGCGAATACCAGTGAAGAAATGGAACATCAAGTTCCCACTGGAAACAATGCCATGGCCCACAGAGGGACTACGGCGTATCAGTCTGAACTCCTTTGGTGTGGGAGGCACCAACTCTCATGCCATCTTGGACGATGCCTATTATTATTTGAAAGATAGGGGTATTGTCGCACCGCATAACACAGTATCTGAGACACCGTCCCCCGAAAAGGTGTCTGAGCTTGTGCATACACTTGAAGCTCTTGAAGCTGCTCAGACCACCAGCCAGGATCATGATCCAAATCCTGCAAATGGCGAGGAGAAACTCTTGCCTGGCACCAACGGGTCCAATGGCGCCAATGGAACAAATGGCACCAAGACTGGCAGTGATATTCCACAAATATTCCCGTTATCCTCATTCGACGAGGGTGGTGTAGAACGAAATGCAAAGGCTCTAGCCACCCATCTCTCCCAACTTCAATCAAGAGGCACACTCCCCGCAAGCCAGAGTACAAGATATCTTAGCCGACTAGCGTACACACTGTCATCTAAGAGAGGTACTTTTCCATGGAGGAGTTTCGCCATCGGCTCAGACCCAAAGAGTCTCATAGAGAGCCTCGAAGGAGAGCTCAATCCTGTACGAGTTCGCGGAACTACCAAAATTGGTTTCATATTCACTGGCCAAGGAAGCCAATGGTTCGCAATGGGTCGGGAACTCCTTGCGTATCCTCCATTCAAGCAGAATCTCGAGGAAGCGACAGCATACTTCCAGTCGCTGGGCGCGGAATGGTCGCTGACTGAGGAGCTCTCCCGAGACAAGGCTGCATCCAGAGTGAATGAACCCTGGCTATCACACCCCGCTTGTGTCTCCTTGCAAATGGCAGTTACTGATCTGCTTCGGAGCTGGGGCATTGTCCCAAGTCGTGTGGTAGGGCACTCTTCCGGTGAGATTGCGGCCGCATATGCTGCCAATCGACTTGGTCGTGAAGCAGCCTGGAAGACGGCCTACTTCAGAGGCTACGTTTCTGCAAAGAAGCTTGATGTCAAAGGAGCCATGATGGCAGTTGGCTTGCCCCGTGATAAGCTACAGGCTTACATTGACCAGGTCAATCAGACTTTGGACGGTGAACTGGTCATTGCCTGCTTGAACAGCCCTGCCAACCAGACTGTGTCAGGTGATGAGGCTAAGGTCGACAAGTTGAAAGAGATCCTTGATTCAGTTGGCGATATCTTTGCACGCAAACTCAACGTGATGAATGCCTACCATTCAGCCCATATGAAATTGGTTGCGGATGAGTATCTCGCCAGTTTGGGAGATTTGAGTTCCGAGAGTGGTGAAGATACTTCCATTGAGATCTACTCCAGCGTTACTGGTGAGCGCGTCAGTGAGAAGCACCTGGGCGCTTCTTACTGGGTCAAGAATATGGTTTCTCCCGTTCGCTTCCACGAAGCAGTGACTGCAATGTGCTTCAGCCGTGTTAAAACTGGTCGGGCTGCTCTTAAACTCAACACCAACGCTGAGAATATCTTCGTTGATACTTTGTTTGAGGTCGGCCCTCACGGAGCTATGCGCAGTGCCGTAAAGGAGACTTTAGCGAGCCGTGTGAGCGCCTCTCATTACAAATATCTTCCCGTTCTAGATAGAAGCAACCCCGGCTTGGGCACAATCCTCAAAG